TTTTTATTTTACCAGGTAAAGCCCCACTGAGCCACGTAGCTCTTTTTTCAAAAGCGACCTGGCCACAAATGATAGCTCAACGAAGTGGCTTAAAATATGGAAATTTACAACAGTGGAGGGAAAAACCGGAGGACCCGGAGAAAAATTCACGCGACCACGGGGAGAGGGAAACACGCAAACTCCAAATATACAGGCGGGCAGGCTCGGGATTGAACCCACGACGAGGTAGGCAATTTCAAATGAAGACATTAACATCATCATCATAGGCCATAATCAATCCACTGCTGGATGAAGGCCTGATCCCCCACCTCCCTCCCCCCGCCCCCCGCAAGCCATTAACCATCTCACACAAATTCCTACCAAGTTGACACCTTGCGCAATTATCCGATTACAAATCGCAACAACACCTGTGGCCATTTACAGAGAGCCCCGGAGGACCGCGCCGCGACAAATCCTCCCCGCGACGACGAGGAGGAGGAGGTGGGAGGAGGTGTGAGGAGGTTGCAATGCCGCCAGGAGCCCAGCCGTGCCGTGCTTGACGTCACGCGGGCAAATCCCCCTCCTCGCGCCGTGTGATGGGATAATCTCCGCAGTGACTGGATGATGCAGAGCCCCCCACCCCCAACACCTCCCCCCATCCACCACCTTCTACCAAACAAAAAACAAAGCGTCCCTCCTCCTCCGCACCTTACCCCCCACCCCCACAACGCACCCCCACGACCCCCCACGCCCCAAACTCGTCACAATCACGAGGGCAGGTCCTACAAAGTCGGAGGTCTCTGGAACGAATCTTCCCCGTCGCGTCACTCTTCCAGCCCAGACGTTCCGTTCGCCTACGGAGTCCGGTAACCTCCTGGGCCCAGCCACGTGGTCGTCTCGCAAACAGAGGGACTGAGAGCGAGAGAGAGAGAGCAAGAGAAAGAGAGAAGAGAGAGAGGACATTTTTTGGTGAGAGCGATCACGACAGGTTACTCGTCGTTTTGAACGTCGTCAGTGTCATCTTGTGTCGATGATAATTGCATACGTCATCAGTGTCATCTTGTGTCGATGATAATTGCATACGTCATCAGTGTCATCTTGTGTCGATGATAATTGCATACGTCATCAGTGTCATCTTGTGTCGATGATAATTGCATACGTCGTCAGTGTCATCTTGTGTCGATGATAATTGCATACGTCATCAGTGTCATCTTGTGTCGATGATAATTGCATACGTCGTCAGTGTCATCTTGTGTCGATGATAATTGCATACGTCATCAGTGTCATCTTGTGTCGATGATAATTGCATACGTCATCAGTGTCATCTTGTGTCGATGATAATTGCATACATCATCAGTGTCATCTTGTGTCGATGATAATTGCATACGTCATCAGTGTCATCTTGTGTCGATGATAATTGCATACGTCATCAGTGTCATCTTGTGTCGATGATAATTGCATACGTCATCAGTGTCATCTTGTGTCGATGATAATTGCATACGTCATCAGTGTCATCTTGTGTCGATGATAATTGCATACGTCATCAGTGTCATCTTGTGTCGATGATAATTGCATACGTCATCAGTGTCATCTTGTGTCGATGATAATTGCATGCGTCGTCAGTGTCATCTTGTGTCGATGATAATTGCATACGTCATCAGTGTCATTTTGTGTCGATGATAATTGCATACGTCATCAGTGTCATCTTGTGTCGATGATAATTGCATACGTCATCAGTATCATCTTGTGTCGATGATAATTGCATACGTCGTCAGTGTCATCTTGTGTCGATGATAATTGCATACATCATCAGTGTCATCTTGTGTCGATGATAATTGCATACGTCATCAGTGTCATCTTGTGTCGATGATAATTGCATACGTCATCAGTGTCATCTTGTGTCGATGATAATTGCATACGTCATCAGTGTCATCTTGTGTCGATGATAATTGCATACGTCATCAGTGTCATCTTGTGTCGATGATAATTGCATACGTCATCAGTGTCATCTTGTGTCGATGATAATTGCATACGTCATCAGTGTCATCTTGTGTCGATGATAATTGCATACGTCATCAGTGTCATCTTGTGTCGATGATAATTGCATACGTCATCAGTGTCATCTTGTGTCGATGATAATTGCATACGTCATCAGTGTCATCTTGTGTCGATGATAATTGCATACGTCGTCAGTGTCATCTTGTGTCGATAATTGCATACGTCATCAGTGTCATCTTGTGTCGATGATAATTGCATACGTCGTCAGTGTCATCTTGTGTCGATGATAATTGCATACATCATCAGTGTCATCTTGTGTCGATGATAATTGCATACGTCATCAGTGTCATCTTGTGTCGATGATAATTGCATACGTCATCAGTGTCATCTTGTGTCGATGATAATTGCATACGTCATCAGTGTCATCTTGTGTCGATGATAATTGCATACGTCATCAGTGTCATCTTGTGTCGATGATAATTGCATACGTCATCAGTGTCATCTTGTGTCGATGATAATTGCATGCGTCGTCAGTGTCATCTTGTGTCGATGATAATTGCATACGTCATCAGTGTCATCTTGTGTCGATGATAATTGCATACGTCATCAGTGTCATCTTGTGTCGATGATAATTGCATACGTCATCAGTGTCATCTTGTGTCGATGATAATTGCATACGTCATCAGTGTCATCTTGTGTCGATGATAATTGCATACGAAATCAGTGTCATCTTGTTTCGATGATAATTGCATACGTCATCAGTGTCATCTTGTGTCGATGATAATTGCATACGTCATCAGTGTCATCTTGTGTCGATGATAATTGCATACGTCATCAGTGTCATCTTGTGTCGATGATAATTGCATACGTCATCAGTGTCATCTTGTGTCGATGATAATTGCATACGTCATCAGTGTCATCTTGTGTCGATGATAATTGCATGCATGCCGGTCATTATCACCGTCGTCGTGATCATCAATTACTTGCACACCACGTGAGAGCATCACGATCGTTGCCATTAACGTGGGGGTCGTCGTGTCGTGCATACCTGCACATTGTCATCATCGTGATTGCCATCATCATCATGGTTGTCATCATCATCATGATTGTCATCATGATGATTGTCATCATGATGATTGTCATCATCATGATTGTCATCATGATGATTGTCATCATGATGATTGTCATCATCATCACCATGATTGTCATCATCATCATGATTGCCATCATCATGATTGTCATCATGATGATTGTCATCATCATGATTGTCATTATCATCATGATTGTCATCATGATGATTGTCATCATCATCACCATGATTGTCATCATCATCATGATTGCCATCATCATGATTGTCATCATGATGATTGTCATCATCATGATTGTCATTATGATGATTGTCATCATCATCACCATGATTGTCATCATCATCATGATTGCCATCATCATGATTGTCATCATGATGATTGTCATCATCATGATAGTCATCATCATCATGATTGCCATCATCATGATTATCATCATGATGATTGTCATCATCATGATTGTCATCATGATGATTGTCATCATCATCACCATGATTGTCATCATCATCATGATTGCCATCACCACGATTGTCATCATCATCATGATTGTCATCATCATCACTTCATTTCAACATTCCATCATTAACTTAATCATTCTCGTCATTATCATCCTACTCACCATCACAATCATTTGCGTACATATGATATGATGATGTATGTATGGATGTTGAACTTTTTTCGCACTGTGCAAAGCACACCGGATGTGCGGGGGAAGGACAACAAACTAAACACAAAAATCAGTCTTAAAGAAACGAGTTTGCAATGTAGATTTTAAAAATGACCATCATTATGTACGTTGAACTATTACTGCCGCCGCCGCGTGGCAGCTGAAATGGCCAAAATACAATTGAGAAATTAGCACCAACTAAAAAAATCTGGTTAATCTAACTTACAAGGCCATTGGTTTGTGAGCTCCTGGGGATATAATTTATGGATGACGCCGTGACAGATCATTATTACAACTCGGCCATACGTCATTTGGCAGAGTTAAAACAAAACTAGACTTTAATAAAGTCTTCGCTCGGCTGAAACTTCTACGTGAACAGACTCCCTAACCCTACGATCAGACGGTGACAGGCTTGCGGATGAGTAGCTGGAGTAGGGTAAAGGCGCAGGCCCTGAAATGTCATGCTCACTCCACTGCTGGGGGAAGGGCCTCCGCACGAGGCATGATCGAGAGAGAGAGGGAGCGGTAACGAGACGCGCAGAAGAGAGATGGAGGGAGCGCGAGGGAGAGGTAACGATACACACACGCAGTAAGGGAGACGGAGTGTGATGGAGAGAGAGAAAGAGCTAGGGAGATGGAGAGAGCGGTAACTTACACACACAGAGGAGAGGTGGAGGGTGAGCGAGGGAGAGGTAACGAGAGGCGCTGACGAAGATGGAAGCTGAGCAATGGGAGAGGTAAACTGCACACGCGCAAGAGAGGGGAGACGGAGGGAGATGGGGAGGGAGAGTGTCGGGAGAGTAAACGACACACGCGCAAGAGAGGGGAGACGGAGGGAGATGGGGAGGGAGATGGATGGGAGAGTTAACTACACACGCGCAAGAGAGGGGAGACGGAGGGAGATGGGGAGGGAGAGGGACGGGAGAGTTAACGACACACGCGCAAGAGAGGGGAGACGGAGGGAGATGGGGAGGGAGATGGATGGGAGAGTTAACTACACACGCGCAAGAGAGGGGAGACGGGGGGAGATGGGGGGGGAGAGTGTCGGGAGAGTTAACTACACACGCGCAAGAGAGGGGAGACGGGGGGAGATGGGGTGGGAGAGGGACGGGAGAGTTGACACACGCGCAAGAGAGGGGAGACGGGGGGAGATGGGGTGGGAGAGGGACGGGAGAGTTGACACACGCGCAAGAGAGGGGAGACGGGGGGAGATGGTGTGGGAGAGGGACGGGAGAGTTGACACACGCGCAAGAGAGGGGAGACGGGGGGAGATGAGGAGGAACGGGCGAGCTAAGCGCAGAGGCGATCGGCACGAGCCCCCATTCAGAGCGGCGCGCCGTGCCATGTCCCCGGGGTAACCCTAACAACAGCCAGTGCGCCGTGCCGCTCAGCTCCGCCCCGCGAGGTTTGTTCCGAATTCCCGCTCCGTCTCCTGGGAACGCGCGAGCGCGCTCTCTGCGAGACGCGCGCGTCGCTGAGTGCCACCGTAAGCGTTGCGTACGCGCGCAGCTGGGGCGAGCGGTGTTAGCGAGCACCTATTAAGGGTCGCGGCATCTGCTCGAGAGGGTGGGTGGGGGGGGGGGTGGCCAGCAGCCTCTGCCCGGCCGCCTTTGTCTCGCCAGTGCTGACGTTTGTTGGCGCACCGCGCCAGGTGCTCGTTGCGAGGCTGAGTCGACGACGCAGGGAAGATGTTGGGATCGACTCTGACGTGTTTCGCTACCGATGGTTATAGCCGCGACCGGGAATCGGACTCGAGGCAGATAGACAAAGAGATCGGACAAGGGGGGGGGGGGGGGGGTTGGGCAGACAGATACAGAGATGCGACTCAGATATGTATAGACAGAGACACATGAGACGCACAGACACTTGAGGCAGGAGGGCACCAAGATGCAGGGGACAAAGAAAGCGACTCAGAGATGGTGACAGGGCCTATGAGGCGCAGTAAGAGACATCAGAAGCCACTGGAGCTATGCACTTTTAAATCCCGATTGGAAACTCGCTTCTTTAAAACTGCTATTTGTGTTTCGTTTGTTGTCCTTCCACGGCACCTCCGATTATCGCGGTTGGCTACGTACGGTGCGAAAGAAGCCCAACATGAATGCAGATATAGACGGAGACGCAGGAGACACGGAGTTAGAGAGAGACACACACACGGCGAAGAGAGGCGGTCTTATTGCGCATGCGATTAAGTCGTTCTCCCTTGCTCCGTGTTTGTCGCAGGCGACCGACTCCTCGCGGCAACTCGCGGCCTCCCGTCGCGCCAGACGACCATGTCCGAGGTGGTGAGTCCTCAGCGTGCGCTCCTGGGGAGGGAGGAGGGCGCGTGGCGTCGCGTTATTCATCTCGACGCGAACGCGTGGGAGGGAACGCCCAGCCGCCGCGGAGTCTAATTGAAATGTCTCGCGCGTACGTACGGCTGAGTGAGTGTGGGTGGGTGTTGTGTGACTCTGTGTGCCTAGGCGCGCGCGCGTGCGTGTGTGTGTGTCTGGAGGTATGGGGAGCGGTGGTGTAGTGGTTAGCTCGCTGCGCTACGAACCCGGCGACCCGAGTTCGATTCGCACTCACGGCCAACACCAGTGACGATTATCTGAACCGATCCTGGGGAAACAAAGTCGGCCGGGAGTGGTGTTGCCCCCCCCCCCACACCACCGTGTGCTGTTCCGGCCTGTATAGGTACTCGCTATCAGCACTTCTCCCACCAGTCTATACGGGGGGATCTTTGTCTTTGTGCGTGTGTCTCTGCGTCTCTCTGTGTGTCTCTCTCTGTGCACACGTGATGCATAAGGTCAACTTGTGTGTGCGTGCGCGTACGGAATTGATGCGTGCGCGCGTGTCCGCCCAGATGGGTTCGTTCCGAGTCATCTCGGAGGAGGAGCAGGCCCTCCGCTCCAAGATGGACCGCCTGACCCCGCGCGACCACGGGCCCGTTTTCGGGCCCTGCAGCAAAGTCCCTGCGCACACCCTGCAGAAGGTGACGCGGCCAGGCGCCGATCGCGTTCAGGAGTGTAATTCGTCGTGATAAAACTCAAAAACTCGTTTTTAATTTGTGTTATTTGACCAGGTAAGGCACCGCTGAGCGATGTTGCTCTTTTTCAGAAGCGACCTGGCCCACCACAAATGATCAGCTCGACAAAGTGGCTTATCGCGTGGAAACGTGTAGCGGCCAAACGCTCTAAACGCGTGGATGTTGATTCTTATAAATGTGGAGGATAAAACCCGGAGGACCCGGATAAAAAATCCACACGACCACGGGGAGAGAGACACGCAGACTCCAAATATACAGCAGCAGGCGTCAGGGTTGGGATCGAACTCACGACCTCCTGTACACCAGGCGAGGTAGTTAACATCTCCTAGCCACCGTGGTGGTGATGATGAGAGACACGCAGACTCCAAATATACAGCAGGCGTCAGGGTTGAGATCGAACTCACGACCTCCTGTACACCAGGCGAGGTAGTTAACATCTCCTAGCCACCGTGGTGGTGATGATGAGAGACACGCAAACTCCAAATATACAGCAGGCGTCAGGATCGGGATCGACCTCACGACCTCCTAACCTTCTGTACACCAGGCGAGGTAGTTAACATCTCCTAGCCACCGTGGCGCCCATGGTGGCGTGATTTTGCTTCGAGCTCGGGACACATTTCTTACAGAGGAGGGCCCTTGCCTGTAACCATCATGCAGTTCAACATGGCATTGGTTTAAGTGAGCCCCTGGCTCTGCAGATTAGATATCGAATGCCGAAACCGGTGCAGAGTTTAATTGTATTGAATCAATGTTGCTGATGAGATGCGCCCATCAGAACGCCGTGCGGCCGATGGGATGTGTGAAATATGCTTGCTGCTGATGTTGCCAATTTTGCTGATGCTGCTGATGCCACCGCTGTTGAAGACGCTGCTCGCGATGATGCTGATGGCGCTTCTTTTTCCTCTTCTGCTGCTGATGATGATGGTGATGCTGCTTCTGCTGCTGATGCTGCTGATGATGGTGATGCTGCTGATGATGATGGTGATGCTGATGGTGATGATACTGCTTGTGATGATGGTGGTGATGATGGTGATGCTGCTGATGGTGGTGATGATGTTGCTGCTCCTGCTGATGATGATACTGCTATTGATGATGCTGATGATAGTGCTGGTGATGATGCTGATGATGCTGCTACTGTTGCTGATTATGATACTGCTGCTGCTGATGATGCTGATGGTGCTGCTAATTATGGTGATGACGCCGATGATGTTGCCGCTGATGGTGGTGCTGATGATGGTGCTGACAAACATGGTGATTAGGCTGCTGATGCTGCTGATGATAATACTGCTGGTGATGATGATGCTGCTGCTGATGATGACGACACTGCAGTTGATGATGATGCTGATGATGCTGCTGTTGATGATTGATGATGATGCCGCTGATGATGACGAAACTCGACTGGTAATAATGATGATGATGCTAATCATGATACTGGTGATGCTGCTGCTGATGACGACACTGCTGCTGCTGATGATTTATGATGATGCTGCCGCTGCTGCCGCTGCTGCCGCTGCTGATGATGACGCTGATGACGCCGGTACCGTCGGCGGCAGGCTCGCGACGAGCTGAACGAGACGGACGAGCGCCGCAGCTCCGCCGTTCAGGAGCTGCGCGAGATGATCATGGAGAGGGCCGACACGGACGAGGACTTCTGCATGACCGTGGCGGCAAAGATGCGTGCCAAGGACGACGCCTTCCTCCTGCGCTTCGTGCGCGCGCGCAAGTTCGACGTTCCGCGCGCGTACGACCTCGTCAAGGGTACGTGGAGGCACGTGCTCCCTTGTCCGCGGTGTATTCCGCACAGGGACAAGGGGTGGAGGGGGGGTGCTCTGAGAAGCCTCGGCGCAAAGGGCGCTTCGTCATGAAGAAATTTGCTTCATCGAGACAAGGCACAAAGCATTGTCGTCATTATCAGGCAGCCCGGCCAGCGAGAAGCCGCAGACAAAAGCGATAGCAGTGGCCGGGTGTTGGTGCTGGCCATAACACAACGATCCATCGTGCGCCGTGTCAGCCTTAATAGGCGCTCGCTAACAGAGAGAGTAATACGGCGTTGTATGTGTGTGTAGGTAGGTGTTGGCAAAGCGGTAGTGTAGCGGTCAGTGCTGCGCTGTGCTACAATCCTGGCGAGCCGAGTTCGATTCCCGCTCACGGCCAACACCAGTGACGATTATCTGAACCGGTCCCAGACTTCGCCTAGGTCGACTCAGCCTCAAATGAGTACCTCGTGCGGTGTGTAAACATCGCCACTGGGGAGACAAAGGCGGTCGGGCGTGGTACTGGCCACCCGTCCCCTCGTGTGCCGTGCAGGCCTTAATAGGCGCTCGCAAATAGCACTTGCCCCTGCAGTCTGTTTGAAGGCTATACGGGGGATCGTTGTCTTTGGTGGCATCTCTACACACCTCTTCGTACAACAATGAGCTGGGCTCGTAATGAGCAACTCTCTAATTACGGAATTGTTGGTGCGACGTAGATGAGGAGTGGAGGAGGGTGCAGCCGCCCCTCCACCTCCCCCCACCCCCACCAACTTGCCCCCCCCCACCTCCCCCCACCCCCACCAACTGCCCCCCACCACCCCTCTCCACCTCCCCCCCACCAACTGCCCCCCCACCTCCCACCACCCCCACCAACTTCCCCCCACCACCCCCCTCCACCTCCCCCCCACCCCCACCAACTGCCCCCCCACCACCCCCTCCACCTCCCCCCCACCCCCACCAACTGCCCCTCCCCCACCATCCCCCTCCACCTCCCCCCCACCCCCACCAACTCCCCCGCCCACTCAGCCATCTCTGGGTCAGATGCGAGATCCGATTAGAGACGCACGTGGTCTCTTTAACGCACAAAGCCTGGCACACGTACATCAGCGATATCAACACACACGCGGCACACACACACACATGCAGCACACACATGAACCTCGTGGCGGATACCCCGGGGTCCCGAAGAAACGGAAGTCAAAATCGTAATTAATCTATTTACTTTTGACGACTCCGTCCCACCGCGCACACAAACGCCGCGACCCGCCTGGCGCGGATCGTTCTGTTGTCGCGTCGTGCCCAAGCGCAGCAGCGAGGACGAATGCGCAGAAGAAATACAACTTTTAAACTTCAATTAGCGCATCGCATAGAGCCCGTCAAGAGGAATAGATTGCCGTGTCGTTCGCCTTCAACAGACATAAAATGACGTCGCAACGAAGTTTGTGCGAGAGCAGGGGGCTTATGGGACCCCGGGGTCCCGCCATAAGGTTCATATACCTAACCAGGCCCTATCCACTGCTGGATGGAGGTCTACCGTGGTCATCTATAACTGTCCGGCCTTATGCGTCAATCGCTCACGGCAGTGAAGGAATTTCCCCGTGCCCACCCCCGACAGCAGAGAGGGGGACAGGAGATATATTTTCCAGAGCTCAGCCCCGGACAGCTCCGTACGAAATAAAACCCTGATTAAAATAAAAAAAACGGTACAATTTGTTTATTTCACCGAGTAAGGTTAGGCACACTGAGCTATATAGTTGTTGTTTTAGAAGCGACCTGGTCACAACTGATAGCTCAAATGAAGTGGCTTATCATGTGGAAATGTGCAACAGCCAAATAATCTGAACGCCCGTTGATTCTACATGTGGAAGGAAAAACCGGAGGACACGTAGAAAAATCCACGCGACCACGGGGTGAGAGAGACACGCAAACTACAAATATACAGCCGGCGTTAGGGTCAAGATCGAACCCACGACCTCCTGTATATCAGGCGAGGTAGTGAACATCTCCTAGCCACCGTGATGATGATGAGAGAGAAAGAGACACGCAAACTCCAAATATACAGCTGGCGTTAGGGTCGGGATCGAACCCACGACCTCCTATATACCAGGCGATGTAGTGAACATCTCCTAGCCACCGTGATGATGATGAGAGAGAGAGAGAGGGACACGCAAACTCCAAATATACAGCTGGTGTTAGGGTCAGGATTGATCCCACGATCTCCTGTATACCAGGCGAGGTCGTGAATATCTCCCAGCCACCGTGATGATGATGAGAGACAGAGACACGCAAACTCCAAATATACAGCAGGCGTCAGGGTCGGGATTGACACGACCTCCTGCATACCAGGCGAGGTAGTGAACATCTCCTAGCCACTATGATGATGATGAGAGAGAGAGGTCCACAAACTCCAACTATACAGGTGGGGATAGGGTCGGGATCGAGCCCACAACCTCCTGTATACCAGGCGAGGTAGTGAACATCTCCTAGCCACCATGATGATGATGAGAGAGAGAGGTCCACAAACTCCAACTATACAGGTGGGGATAGGGTCGGGATCGAGCCCACAACCTCCTGTATACCAGGCGAGGTAGTGAACATCTCCTAGCCACCATGATGATGATGAGAGAGAGAGGTCCACAAACTCCAACTATACAGGTGGGGATAGGGTCGGGATCGAGCCCGCAACCTCCTGTATACCAGGCGAGGTAGTGAACATCTCCTAGCCACCATGATGATGATGAGAGAGAGAGGTCCACAAACTCCAACTATACAGGTGGGGATTGGGTCGGGATCGAGCCCACAACCTCCTGTATACCAGGCGAGGTAGTGAACATCTCCTAGCCACCATGATGATGATGAGAGAGAGAGGTCCACAAACTCCAACTATACAGGTGGGGATAGGGTCGGGATCGAGCCCACAACCTCCTGTATACCAGGCGAGGTAGTGAACATCTCCTAGCCACCATGATGATGATGAGAGAGAGAGGTCCACAAACTCCAACTATACAGGTGGGGATAGGGTCGGGATCGAGCCCACAACCTCCTGTATACCAGGCGAGGTAGTGAACATCTCCTAGCCACCATGATGATGATGAGAGAGAGAGGTCCACAAACTCCAACTGTACAGGTGGGGATAGGGTCGGGATCGAGCCCACAACCTCCTGTATACCAGGCGAGGTAGTGAACATCTCCTAGCCACCATGATGATGATGAGAGAGAGAGGTCCACAAACTCCAACTATACAGGTGGGGATAGGGTCGGGATCGAGCGCACAACCTCCTGTATACCAGGCGAGGTAGTGAACATCTCCTAGCCACCATGATGATGATGAGAGAGAGAGGTCCACAAACTCCAACTATACAGGTGGGGATAGGGTCGGGATCGAGCCCACAACCTCCTGTATACCAGGCGAGGTAGTGAACATCTCCTAGCCACCATGATGATGATGAGAGAGAGAGGTCCACAAACTCCAACTATACAGGTGGGGATAGGGTCGGGATCGAGCCCACAACCTCCTGTATACCAGGCGAGGTAGTGAACATCTCCTAGCCACCATGATGATGATGAGAGAGAGAGGTCCACAAACTCCAACTATACAGGTGGGGATAGGGTCGGGATCGAGCCCACAACCTCCTGTATACCAGGCGAGGTAGTGAACATCTCCTAGCCACCATGATGATGATGAGAGAGAGAGGTCCACAAACTCCAACTATACAGGTGGGGATAGGGTTGGGATCGAGCCCACAACCTCCTGTATACCAGGCGAGGTAGTGAACATCTCCTAGCCACCATGATGATGATGAGAGAGAGAGGTCCACAAACTCCAACTATACAGGTGGGGATAGGGTCGGGATCGAGCCCACAACCTCCTGTATACCAGGCGAGGTAGTGAACATCTCCTAGCCACCATGATGATGATGAGAGAGAGAGGTCCACAAACTCCAACTATACAGGTGGGGATAGGGTCGGGATCGAGCCCACAACCTCCTGTATACCAGGCGAGGTAGTGAACATCTCCTAGCCACCATGATGATGATGAGAGAGAGAGGTCCACAAACTCCAACTATACAGGTGGGGATAGGGTCGGGATCGAGCCCACAACCTCCTGTATACCAGGCGAGGTAGTGAACATCTCCTAGCCACCATGATGATGATGAGAGAGAGAGGTCCACAAACTCCAACTATACAGGTGGGGATAGGGTCGGGATCGAGCCCACAACCTCCTGTATACCAGGCGAGGTAGTGAACATCTCCTAGCCACCATGATGATGATGAGAGAGAGAGGTCCACAAACTCCAACTATACAGGTGGGGATAGGGTCGGGATCGAGCCCACAACCTCCTGTATACCAGGCGAGGTAGTGAACATCTCCTAGCCACCGTAATTTAAATGAATTACCTTTCCCGCAACACTCCCTTTCCATGCCCTCGCGACTGCTCTTGCGTAACCACGCCCCCCCTCTTACGCGCGCGTGACCGACTGCCCTTCCACACGAGTGCCCCCCCCCCCCCTTGATCTGCACCCCGTGCCAGGCTACGTGCACTTCAGGGAGCAGTACCCGGAGCTGTTTGAGAACCTGTGCCCCGAGGCGCTGCGCAGCACCATCGAGGCCGGCTACCCGGGGGTGCTGCCCTCCAGGGACAAATACGGCCGCGTGGTGCTCCTCTTCAACATCGAGCACTGGGACTACCAGGAGATCACCTTCGACGAGGTGAGGCGGTCGACAAGGTGGGGGGCGATCACCCACCGCAGGTGCTGAGATCGACGACGAGGTGGGCGATGGAGGTAGGCGACGTGGTGGGTGTTTGCGGAGGGAGGTGATCGGGGTAGGCGATCGTGGAAGGTGATGAGGTCGGTGATTATCGAGGTAGGTGAGTGATGAGGTAGGCGACAAGGTAGGGGGTCAAGGTAGGTGGTTGAGGTAGATGACCAGGTAGGTGAGTGACAAGGTAGGTGACGAGGTAAGTGACGAGGTAGGTGAGAGACGAGGTAGGTGACGAGGTAGGTGATGATGTATGTGACGAGGTAGGTGACGAGGTAGGTGACGAGGTAGGTGACGAGGTAGGTGAGAAACGAGGTAGGTGACGAGGTAGGTGATCGGGGTAGGTGAGTGACGAGGTAGGTGACGAGGTAGGTGATGGTGTATGTGACGAGGAAGGTGATTGGCCACTGCGGCCGACTCGAGCCACCGGTGTTTGATCTCAGCGGGAGCAGTCCGGTTAGTGGCTGTACGGGGGAGTTTACTTTAAACCGACTCTCTTGTTAACATCGCTACGCTCTAAGCGTGAATGCAATTTTACGAAATAATTGCTTCTATTTTACGCCTGTAATCGTGGAATGCGTTGATGTTGTCTGCCTGCTTCTTAGCTCAATGGGCTTTACCCTGGGGTTGATCTTCCACTAAGCTCATGATCCACCCCAGACCGCATCCACTGCACAAACCACGGCAGTAGATGCGGATACCTGTTGCACAAATGTGATATGCTAGATTTGAATTTCGATTTAAATTCCTCTTGATATGCAAATTCCTTTGTCAAGGCGCCCCTTCCCCCCTCCAACCCAGCTTAAATATACGCTGCCAAGCCTGGTGGTGCCCATTCAGACGCTGTCTTTCCGACAGACCTGTTCTTCACCTGAGGACGGCTGCTTGCGTTGTGGCCGAAAAACGTCGTGAGAATTATTCTATTATGTTTTATTTTTATTCTTTTATTATTTCCCTTCGACGTGACTTTACCGAAAGAACCAAGAAGATCGAGATTTGAAGTTTGTGAAATTAAGTCGGTGAAATGAAATGTGAAATTAAGTCTGTGAAATGAAATGTGAAAATCAACAACTCTCCCGTGTGCGACCGCGGTCATCCCGAACAGAGACCGTACAACGTGCGATGACGCAATGCCCCGATCCACAAATACGCAGGCGACGACGATGCCACTCCACTGCCCTTGACGCGGTTGCCTGGCCTGGCGCACCTGAATGTGAGACTGTAGCCGTCGCGCTGCCATCGACACCAGCAGTCGTACAAGCAGCGAAACTCGGGAAATAAACTTCTGAACTGATGTATGGCAAAGACAAAGATCCCCCGTATAACCATTGACTGACTGTTGGTCCGGGGCAAGTGCTGTTAGCGAGCGCCTATGAAGGCCGGCACGGCGCACAAGGGGGTGGGTGGCCAGCACCACGCCCGGCCGCCTTTGTCTCCCTAGTAGTGGGGATGTTTACACGCCGCACCAGGTACTCATTTGAGGCTGAATCGACCTAAGGGAGGCTCAGGACCGGTTCAGATAATAGTCGCCGGCGTTGGCCGTGAGCGGGAATCGAACTCGGGTCGCCGCGGGCTCGAAGCGCAGCGTAGCGCTGACCGCTATGCCTCCGCTCCCCAAAAACGTCTGAACTGATCTATGGCACTGCCATCACCACCACCACCACAGCGTCCATCTCGCATCATTCTCTTCCTCTTTATATTTTCTCTCTTCTTCTTCTTTGTTTTAAGTTTGTTGATGGTTGTTGTTTTTTAATTCACGTCGCTCTCCGCAGATCCTGCGCGCGTACTGCATCATCCTGGAAGACCTCCTGGTCAACGAGGAGACCCAGATCAACGGCTTCTGCATCATCGAAAACTTCACCGGATTCAGCATGCAGCAGGCCTCCGGCATCAAACCCTGGGAGCTCAAGAAGATGGTGGACATGCTGCAGGTCTCTAGGCTGGCCGTGCTGTTGTTGTTGTTGTTGTTTTGCATCCAATTGGGATGACGCAGTAACGTAACTAGCGTGGGGGGCCACGGGTGCCTTGCCCCCCCCCCCGCCTTCCACCCCCCCCCCCCGCTCTCTGGTGGCCAAAGCTACGAGTTGGAGGCTCCTCTAGACAACCACGATGAGAGATATTTTGCAACAGTTTTAGTACTGGAAGTAACAGAGTAAAGAAACGTAAATGTAACGTAACGAAAAGTATGTTGCTTTGAACGACGGTAACTCGAGTTAAAATGACAATCGGACATAGAACTCCGGGATATTTATTGAATTTGGATACGCGCCGATTCTATTGCAACGAGTTAAGCACGGCACAGTAGTGGCTGTACATTTGGCGAAGACTGCGCGCCCCCCGACAGCGTTAAACGTTCGAGACCGTGAGCATAATGATGATGTGACCAGGGCAAGAGAAGCCGTAGATCCACAATAGCCTGGGTTGCGGACCGTGCGAGACAAATAAAACATTGTAGGCCCCCCCTGACCGACTGCTGCACCAACCTGAGCTGCTGATAATATCGTAACTACACCACTGGGATGACGGTAGACTCAGCGGTGTCGGAGCTGGGATTCTGGTTTGGCATTGGCATCACCGGAATGTGTTGTGGTACAGGCCAGCTGCCGCATACTGGCTGCAGAGACTGCATCATTGTCCCCCAGGACTCTCTTGATAATGAGACTATGTCCTGGTCTCCCGAGTTCTCACCCTGGTCAAGCAAGGTTGGCCGTCTCGGGTGGTGGAGGTTTAAGGCACATTTATAAATAACGCGATCTAACCCAAAAACCTTTATGATTAATAATACTGGTCGCGAAAGCCTACGTGATAAACTGAAGATAAACGTGTAACGTGAACACCGATAGGGGCACGTAAATACCCACGAAGCAATTCAACTCGCAAAACCCAACTGTGGCACAACAGAACCACCTCTACACACCAGCACACACCATCACACACCTCCACACACCATCATACACCACCACCTCCACACACCATCAGCACCTCCACCCACACCATCGCACATCACCACCACCATCATCACCACCTCCACCCACCTCCACATATCATCACACACCATCACCACCTCCACCACCTCCACACACACCATCGCACATCATCACCACCACCATCATCACCACCTCCACCTACCTCCACACATCATCACCACCTCCACACACCTCCATCGCACATTAACACCTCTCTCCTCCTCCTCGCCCACGCCGCCGTGCGGTACAGGACTCCTTCCCCGCGCGGTTCAAAGCCGTGCACTTCATTAACCAGCCGTGGTACTTCACCACCACCTACAACATCGTGAAGCCCTTCCTCAAGGCCAAGCTGCTGGACAGGGTAAGTGCTGGGGTCTAGGAGCGGCGTGACGAGCGTGAGGGCACCCTGGGGGTGCCGTGGCCTATGATGGCCAAAGCGACGAGTTGGACCTCCCACCTCCACCCCCCCCCCCTTGACAACCACCATGTGATAATTGGTTTTTTACCCTTCTGTCTGGCAACAAAACTGACACCTTTTTACAAGGAGTCATGTTTGCATAGACCGCAATACATGCAGTCATAATACAAACAAAAGAACATAACTCTGATAATGAGCACTGTCCTTGAAGTTGATTGGTCCACACCCGAGACAGCTTTCCTTAGAGCCTAGTCTCACATGGGTTGGACCAGATGACGCCAAAAGGAGCACAACTCAATTATCATATTTTTACTGGCAAATGAGGTTCCCATAGTGTAAACCACCATATGTTTTCGACAGCAGTGTAAAAAATAACACAGTAAAGTATTTAAAAGATCGGGTTTAATTGAAATTTTTGGATGAAAATGCTGTCATTCAGTCGTGGCTGCATTTTCTGCGGGGATGGAGCGCCCCCCCTCCTCCCCCACAGCGCTAAATGTTCGAGACCGTGAGCGTAACGACGATGTGATTAGGGCAGGAGGAGACGCAGAGAGATACATGATAAGCCGGGGTGTGACCTTGCGAGACGAATTAAATATTGGGGCCCCACCGGCCCGATTGTACCGGCACCCGCTGAGCTGACAACCAGGGACGTGCGGCCAGGGGAGGCAGGGGAGGCAGAGCCTCACCTGCCATACTCCAATGCTAATAGCTGGTACGAAAAGAAAAAAAAATAATATTCAAATAAAATAAATATTAAAATTTTCCACTGATCCCTCAGTAACTGGATGGAGCGCGGGCAATAAGCGCGTGCCTGTTACTATCTCAGTATGTCATCAATGTAATGTTTGTAGACCCCTTCATTTCATATCCTCGCCTTCCATACTCCAGGCAACTTATTTCACTTATGTGTATAAATATATTTAGGCTCGCTAGTCTCGTCATGAAACTGCAATGAAAAAGCACCAGGGGAGGCAGCTATCACATCTGCCTCACTGAGGGGGACGTGTCTAACACGCCCCCCTCAGTGAGGACACGCCCCCTCAGTGAGGACACGCCCCCCTCAGTGAGGACACGCCCCCTCAGTGAGGACACGCCCCCTCAGTGAGGACACGCCCCCTCAGTGAGGACACGCCCCTCTCAGTGAGGACACGCCCCCTCAGTGAGGCCACGCCCCCTTCGTGAGGACACGCCCCCTCAGTGAGGCCACGCCCCCCTCAGTGAGGACACGCCCCCCTCAGTGAGGACACGCCCCCATCAGTGTGTGAATCTGGCTCTGACACGAGCCAGTGCCGCCCCAGCCATTGACCTCACCGCACGTCACTGCAATAATGTAATTACGACGTCCACGTTCCGCGTGTACGCACATTCACCGGCCCAACATAGGTGCTCGCCAACAGCACTTGTCCCCAATCGCGTGTTGTACGTGTGCATGCTGAACTTCTTTCGCACCGTACGTAGCCAAACGCACTAATCGGAGGCGCAGGGTGACTGAAATCTCTTAACACCCAATCCAGAACTGCAGAGGATCGTGGGAGGCGTTTGGCTGTCGAAGGCTATCCTGCATGGGAGATCTTTGCCTCTGTACGAGACGGCACTTGGCCCAACAGTCTGTTAAAGGCTATACAGGGGACCTTTGTTTTTATGTGTGAGACAGAGTGGGATGCTTGCTAAACTGCACCTGCCACAGTAGTCTGTTAAAAGCTACGGGGGATATTTATCTTTGCTCGTTAACAACACTTGCCCTAACAGCTTGTTTAAAGTTATACGGGGAATCTTTGTGTGACGTAATGGGGAGCGGTGGCGCTGTGACGAGCGCACGTCGCTACGAACCTGCCGACCTGAGTTCGATTCCCGGCCAGGTCCAGCTTCAGTGGCGATTATCCAAACGGGGCCTTCCCTCGGTAGACTCAGCCCTAAAACGAGTTAGGGGCCGTCTATAAATGACGTCATGCACCTAGGGGGGGAGGAGGGTCAGACATGTGTGACGAGGGGAGGGGGTTTGAGAAATGTGACGTCACGTAAAAATGCGCAACTTTAAATCAATATAGACAACACGATCTAATTCATTAAATAGACGTTTTAATAAATGTTTTATCCTACAACATCAGAGATAGCGCCACTTTAAATACACATTACAATGACAATAGTTTAAAGCGATTTAAAGCATGTTTAATTTTTGTTTGGGGGAGGGGGCAGAGCTTTGTGACGTCATATTTGAGGGGTGGTCTGACTTTTTGTGACGCCGTGTGACGAAGGGGGGAGGGGGGTCAAAAATCGTCCAAAATCGCGTGACGTCATTTATCGACGGCCCCTTACGCGGTGAGGTGTGCAAAAACATCATCCATCATTGGGGAGACAAAGGCGGCCGGGCGCTGGTGGTGTCGGCCACCATTCTTTGCGGTGCCGTCACCCACGACGGCCCTTGCCCCAACAGCCTGCGGAGGCTACACCGTGGGGGGGCGAACCTTTGTCTTTGGGATTCCCGCAGGTGCGCGTGCACGGCGAGGATCTGGTGCAGTACTACGCCGAGTTCGACGCCGACATCCTGCCCGAGGACTTCCGGGGCAACCAGCCCAAGTACGACGGCAAAGCCACGGCCGCCAAGCTCTTCGACAGCTCGCGGGAGAGCGAGGACACTGCCCTCTGAGTGGGCGCGCTCGCTCGCCCCCCGAAAACCACCCGCACCCAACCCGTACCGCCCCAAAAACCACCCACGCCGTACCCCCAAAAAATCCACCCTCACCCATGCCATATCCCCCCCAAAAAACCACCGTCACCCACACCATCCCCCCCCCCCCCAAAAACCACCCACGCCGTACCCCAAAAAATCCACCCTCACCCATGCCATATCCCCCCTAAAAAAACACCGTCACCCACACCATACCCCCCCCCCCCAAAAAAAAACCACCCATGCCCGTACCCCCCAAAAATCCACCCTCACCCACACCATACCCACCCAAAAACCACCCACACCGTACCCCCCCCCCCAAAAAAAAAAACTGCTCGCACCTACGACGTACAACCAAAAACCACCTGCATCCACACCATACCACCCCAAAAATCACTCACACCCACGCCGTACACCCAAAACCACTCACACCCACGCCGCACCTCCGAAAACACTCGGCCCCACTCTGTACCCCCCAGAGACACTCGCAGCCACGCCGTACCCCCTCGCACCCATTTCAAATGACCCCCACCAATGAACAAATCCCGTAGCAGACATCACCGCTTCTCACCCCATCGTCCACCGCAAACACTCAACCACAGTGCCTAACTCTGTTCCTGTAGTGAGAGAGAGAGAGGCGGAATACCGCAAACGGACTGGCGGCCAGTGTTGTCATTGCCGTCGTTCGCCGTGTTCTTAAGAGGCGCGCGTAGCTGTCTACTTTACTGTGAAGTTTTAAACGCAAACGTGGCATTGTCCCCCGCAGTAGTAGCGTTGTGTTGTTGTTGTTGTTGGTTTGTTTGAGACGCGAAGGGACGCGGACAGGATTTTAACGCACGACTCCCGGCCACCTCGGTGTCTCTTCAGCCTATTTTTTCCCCTCCTCTTTTCTCCACTACCCCCGATAACCGAGCCACGACGGGGCCGTGCCGAGCCAGCCCCAGCCCTGCGCGGCTTCAGGAGACTGGGGCCCCCAGGTTTTGTTTGTCCACTCGAAGACGCGTTGTGGGTCAGTGATGACAACGGTACACGCCGCCTTCGACTCGTGTGCCGGCTGACCGTCAGGCTCGGTGAACACGTCGTCACGACGGACCGTGCTGCCGCTGCTTGGCCTAGATGCAGAATTTCAACATTTGCCCTAGGGGCCAGATTAGCATAGTTAGGTCGCGGCACAGCATTGCGGTATCGCCAGTTGTGAAAACCATCCGTGCTGCGGGGGCGCCTCCTGCTGGCTCGGCACGGATGTGGCCAGTGGAAAAAAAGAGCTGTATCTCGTCGAATAGATGAATCAGTGTGACTGGAGCAGTCCCACCTGGTTTTGAATAAACTTTATTGATCGATTTTTGTGAGTCCTACGATCGGGTCTGAGAGAGAGGTCAACCGCCGGCGGAGAGACGGAGCGATAACAAAACAAAAAATCGGCTCGGCGCAGGAGGTGCCGTGCCGATCGCTTTGCATCGTGGGACAGACCGCGAGAGATGACGACGGGTTAGGAAGGCCTCCATTCAGCAGCGGATTGAGCATGGCTGCTGCTGATGATGATATTGATTACCTGGTGACTCAGGGGTTTTACCGAAAGATCCAAAGAATATGAATTCCTGCAGTCACGAAAGCTTTAAGTCAAGATCGACGCTGAGAGGGCTCTGCTTGGGATACCGTTGGCGAGTGGCATTTTTAAATGTAATTGATTTTGTTTTGGTTTAACTTAATTTTCATCGAGTTCCATGGTGAAAACAAGTGCAGTCTGCGACTCGTCACGAAAACAGCGTGATCACATCCATCCACGCAGCTCGCGGACACGCTCGAAGTCCACGGCAAGACGACGCTTTGAATCTGAACGGGGCCTCGCTTAAATACGTATGAATCTGACAGCAAAAAAAAAATAACAACAAACATTTTAACCAATTGATTTTGTTTATTGAAAATATTTAACCAGGAACAAAAAAACACAAATCTTGTGAGCTAAAACATCTCGTTTATTTTTTTACAGGCGTCCCGGAGGAATGACTGAAATGAATGAACTAACATAACATAATGAATGAACATTTCATTCACCCCCCCCCCCCCGCCGCCTCGCCCACCAAATCGACCAGAGCACGTTGCATTCGACGATTTCAAACCGCATCAAAAGCCATCATCTCCCCGCCGCCGTGCACCACAGCGTACGTTGTGTCCACGTTGGGTTGGGACGTCATCTTGACATATGGCAGTAGTTTCACTCACGACGACTTCCGCAAATTACACAAGGCAAACGATGGACTGGTTTCCACCCTTCTGAGACTCATCACGAAAAGTCAACGCGACTCTGCTGGATGAGCCCTGTGTATGTCATAACTGGCTCATGCGACTGCTGATGAAGACACATGCAGTCAAAACACTGGTCCATGCGACTCTGCTGATAAGACGTAGAAAGATGAAACCATGTCTAGGCCGACTCTGCCGAAGAGCCGCAACGAGAACAGAAACCAGTCCAGACAAAACCCCGCTGATGAGTCCCTGCAGAGGGCGAAACCGGTCCGGAGTTGCCGCATTTGAACGAATGACACGGGGAGTCTGGGAGGGCCAATCCGGCAGACAAGATATTATCCGATTTTAACGTGGATATTAGGGGGAGGAGAGTGCTACAGACTTCATGCGTTGCCCAGCATGTGCGTTTCAGAGCGTGCGTCTTGTAGTCAATACACCATACACATTAACGTAAGGCATGACGTGTAAGACGAGGCGATTAGGAATATTGCTTTGTAACGTATATAAGGCGGTACGAGAATGGGTGTGCATGTGGGTAGGGGGGGATATCAGACTTACAAGATAATGTACACGTTATTTCAAGAAAAGCAGAAGGCATGAACAAAATTGGAACTATAGACTGCACATAGTTTAGTTTTTTTGCTGTTTTTCGTCCAACTTTGTCGTTTGAATTATATAAACATTAATATTTCACCCCAAGATCGAACCGGCAGCTATAGGCAAATGATGGGTCTCTTTGGTAAAAGCGCATTTTAATTAAAGCGGATATATATATATAATAATATATAATAATACTGATATTATGATAACATGCCGTATACATAATATACACGCTAATGCATTTTACATGCCTTATATATTTTTTAAAGAGCATTTTTCCCCCAAACAAAAGTCAAAAGCTACCCCCACGCTGCAACCCTCTTATTTTGTTTAATAACATTTAGAAGCAAAATCATAACAAAAAACTAATGAAGAGTTAGTCAAGCATTTAGGTTCCTCGTTGGCTGTTGAGATTTGGACACTGATCATAATAATACTATTATCTGTGATGCCTTCAGCAACATCACACGTGGAACAATTGTAACGTGTTAGTTCAAAGGTTATTTTAAAAGCCCGTTTTTTGAAATTAATTTACACCCATTTGTCTATCCGCTGCTGGATGAAACTACTTCCCCTCCCCCACCCCCATCGCCAAGCGCGATGGGGGTGGGGGGTAGCGGTTGTTTGACCATACTTCACCACGCTGGTCAGTGCGGGTTGGTGAAGAATAGCTAAGGGGTTGTTCAGATTTCACGTCGCCGTGTCTGGGAGTCGAACTCAGCCCGCCGGCTTCATAGCGCAGTGCGCTACCGACCGCTGCCGCACAACGCCACCAGATATCCACAAATGTACGCGATTGCAAGTTACGCGTACATTCATTTGTAACAGCATCCTATGCATACCGACACTTAAACCTCGTGAGATATATCTTTAACCAAAACAAATGACACACACACACGTACACACACGTAAACGCACGTAAACGCACGTACACACACGCACACACACACACGTACACACACGCACACACAAAGGCAAATAGCTCCCGTACCGCCGCATGAGGCTGTTGGGGAAGATGCTGTTAGCGATTACCTATTATTAAGGCCTGCACGGAACATCAAGGAGCAATATGGTCAGAATCACGCCCGACCGCCTTTGTGTCCCGACTGCTGATGTTTTTCCACACCGCACTCGGTACTCGTTTAAGGCCGAGCCGACCTATTGGGGCCACGGAACCAGTTTACATCAAAAGTCACTGATGTTAGGCTGTGTATTAAGAACCCAGCTGGGTTCGTAGTGCAGTGCGCTAACCACTGCTCCAACGCTCCCATCCCAAAGATACAAAGACATACACACACACATGATCACGTACACGCAACGCACAGGCACATTACACGATGCCCCTTAACACGTGTCCCGATATTTTAGGGGCCTTTTGCACTGGACTCGAAAAACAACCCCAACATTTAAACTTAAAAAAAAGAGTCATTTCGCCGAGAGGAAGATAAAAAAGCCGACGTTTCAGCCACTTAGTCTTCTTCAGGGTAACAAAAATAAATCGCGTGGCGAAGGGATATGACGGTTCATCCTCCCCCACGATTCAATATGAATTCAGGATTCGCCATTCAAAAGGAGGTCTTTTTTTGCACCGCGGTGAAGATAGCGGTCTCTAGTGGCTGTAGGAATCACGTGACCCCATTCAACACGATGTAACAAAAATTGCATTTCCATTTCGAGCAGGTCGATTTCACTTCCCTTAAAAGGTAATGATCAATTAACAGTCTAGTGTCACTCCACTGCTGGATGATGGTCTACACACGCTGTACGAATTGGGGAAAGGGGGGGGGTGAGAGCCCCGGATATCGCTCGGCACGGATGTGAGCCGTAGCCACCAGGAATCGAACCGAGGTTTCCGGATTCGTAGCGCAGTGCGCTGACGACTGCGCCACCACTCCACCTTGTTTCTTCTCTTTCTAACAAAACGTCTCTAAACAAAGCGGAACAGCCATAGGTTTGTGGTGTTTCTTCTCCGTCCGTAATAAACAGAGCTTCCTTTCAGCCGGAGCTAGCCGGGGCTGAGCTCCTGAAAATATTTCCCCAGCCCGCCCATGTTGCCGGGGGAATGAGTAAGGCGAGGTGGGGGGGGGGGGGGTCCAGGGGAATTAGGGGGGGGGCTGGAATACATTCTACGAGATCTCAATCAACCCCTCCCCCACCCTCTTGGTGGTGACTTTGGACCACGTTGGCTTAAGTCTGGACGAAGGGTTCACGTTGTCGAACACAGCGACACAGCGCCCTCCTGCGGACAAGCATGATAAGTGCTCTGACATTTCCAAAAGAAACAGATTTACAACAATGAAATGTACTTATATTTTTCCCCATTCCTCTTCTCTCTCAAAAAAAATATATACTGTGTATTTATATATATAAAAATATTCATACACATATACTCACAGCCACGGTAAGGTATATAAAATTTTAAGTTTAAAGCTGTCTTCGTCCGTGAACACGAGACACGTTCTCTTTACGTCATAAAGCGGCAGTCACGTGTCATTTCCTCTGGTTATCAATGGGCTATCGGCCCAGTGTTGTGGTATTGCCGTATTATTCAGATCTAGAGGATATGGCCTGACACTCCCACACGCGCACACACACACACGGTGACCAACGTTTTCTTTGAAATACAGAAATATTAAAAAAAAACAAGCGTGTGTTATAATCCGGACAATACGGTGATTCCATTTATCCGAGGAGAGCCTCATCTGAGTCTCAGCGATGTTTATCGGGAGGGTCCTGCCACACTTAAGATGTTTGACGAATTCCATTCGTGAACATTTAACTTTTCACGACGTCACAAAAAAAACCAAACCAATTTGTATATCCGGTACCCTTTCCATAAACGTGACTGAAGAAATTTCCGTGAAAATTCAAAACTCCCAGTGTTCCCTCGCTAAACGAGACTGCTGAGCGATTCCGAATGAAACCGAAGCTCTTCCCGACGCAGAGACTTGGACATTCTGCAGCCCGTTGGCTGCAAATCACCAGGGTCGTGGCAGCGACGGCTGAGCTGTAAAACGACGAACTTATTTGCCGGATATTTTCATCCCTCGTGATCCGTCGCGTCTCAACCGCGAGTCTGTTCTGCGCTTTGGACATTTCGTGCTCTCTACTTCGCCCTCCGTGCTCGTCTGTAAATGGCGTGCCGCACCCCAATATTGATTTGAAGCTTTCGTGACTGCAGGAATACATATTCTTTGGTTCTTTCGGTAAAGTCACGTGGGTAGAAAAAATAATAAAAGATCACGACGTTTCGATCGCAACACAAGCGGTCGTCCTCAGGCGGAAAAGGAAACAAAACAACCGCTTGTGTTGCGATCGAAACGTCGTGATCTTTATTATTTTTTCTACCCACGTGACTTTACCGAAAGAACCAAAGAGTATGGCACCCACCATTGGAACCCTCCTTTGCCAGTAGCAAAATATTATAATTGTTTTTTTACCCTTTTATCTGGCAACAAAACTGACACCTTTTTTTACAAGGAGTCATATTTGCATTGACCACAATACCTGCGGTCGGAATGCAAACAAAAACACACAACTCTGATAATGTTTGGCACCCAATATTCTCGAGCACCATGCGCCCACGGCTCACGACGCCGCGATGCAAGGGCTTCACAATGTCACAATTCGGGATGAAAGGAATAAAATCAAGCAATATTTTTCTTAGTTTCATTTTTTCACCGGCTCCTTACGCATTCTTGCTTGCGGATCGTAAAATAATCATCTTTAGGCAGATCCGAACACGCGCGATTCCATGCGTGTGTCCGTGAGCCGAATAATCGATGTGAATCGATGCGTCATCGTCTGTTGCATATCTTAGCAGGCGGGTAACGATTCCCACTCCTCCCGCCTCCCCACCCAGCGTTGAATTGCATAGTAGCGATTTTTAGTCACGATTAAATTATTAAAAAAAAAAAAATCTCGACCGTCGTGAATGTAGCGGCCTCTAGTAGGCGGCAGGAAGAGGTCACGCGCTCCCCGTGAGATACGAAAAGCACGCGAACATTAAACGTGCACCACTCTCAAACGCAACGACACTCATTTGCGTGTATCGTATTTCCTAGGAATCGATCGATAAAAATCGATCAATTAAAAAACATCGATGATTTCAATCGACGTGTCGTAAAAAAGAAATATCGATGATTTTAGTCGATGCGTTCCTCTTGTGGCCTGGGAGCCGTCGTGATTGGGTTTGCGGGGGGGGGGGTGAGAGAAGTTGGAGGCTCTGGGACGCGGGGGGTGGGGCACGGGGGGTGGGGGCGGGGCACGGGGATGTGGGGGGGGGGCACGTGGGGTATGGGGGGGGGGGTACGGGGTGGTGGGGGGCTCAGTGCAGGAAGCGGTGCCGGTGCGGTGAACGCCTCGGCAGGCGCGACCACGCGAGGTGCTGGTGGGGGGCAGCAGGGTCACGACCTTGGCTCGTGCTCCTCGCGATCGTGCCGGCTGTGGGGGGAAGGGGGGAACACCACCACCATCATCATCATCAACATCACCATGGTCACGATGGTCATCATCAACATGAACTTATTTTTAGATTGAAAACCAATTTATTTAGGACTGCTTTTTGCGTGTGTTTAGTTTGTTGTCCTTCCCCCGCACCTCCGATTAGCGCGGTTGGCTACGTACGGTGCGAAAGAAGTTCAACGTACGTAGATCGTGTGTCGTCATGATCATCGTTATGAGTTAATATCATCATCGTCATGATTGTCACCCTTCATGGGGGGGGGGGGGGGGCTGGAAGGCGGTGGGGGTGGACACGTGGTGTGTGTGGTGGGTGCGTCAGAAGTGGGTTGTATATGGGAGGGGTGGGGGACACGTGGTGTGTGGGTGAGTGGTTCCTGCTGTGGGGGGGGGGGGGGGGGCTGGAACATCATCATCATCACCATAATCATGGTCAACTCATCATCGTCATGATGGTCATTATCGTTATGAGAGTATGTTTTCTGTTTGCATTCCGACCACAAGTATTGTGGTCGGAATGCAAACATGATTCCTTGTGAAAGGTTTCAGTTTAGTGTGTTAACATCTTAACACCTGTTTTGTTGCCAGAAAAAAGGGGAAAACATTCTCTCATATTTTGCTACTGGCAAAGGAAGTCCCATGACCGTTATGAGAGTTGTGTGTGGACACGTGGATTGTGTGGGGACACGTGGTTTGCGTGTGGACACGTGGATTGTGTGGGAACACGTGGGCTGTGCGTGCGCGCGTGGGCTGCTTGGGGACACGTGGGCTGTGTGTAGACACGTGGCTTGCGTGGGAACACGTGGGCTGTGCGTGCGTGCGTGTGTCCGAGCGGCTCGTCGGCCAAGGCACGCACGTCGCACGCAGGTGATGCGCGGCTCGTCCCAGCGGCCGCTGTCGCGGCAGCGCACGCTGGGCTGGTGGCGCTGCACGAAGCCCTCGCGGCACCGGTAGCGCACCAGGGCGTGCAGCTCGTAGCGGCCGCGCAGAGCCCCGAAGGAGCGCGCGTGGGGCACCACGGGTGGCGGCCCGCACGACACTGGCAGCCGGGCGGGGGGAGGGAGGGCGGCACAGACAAAGGCAATGATAAAGATCCCCCCCCGGATAGCCTGCAGCGGACCGTTGGGGCAAGTGATGTGAGCGAGTGAGCACCTTTGTAAAGCCGGCAAGGCATGAGGAAGATGCTGGGTGAACAGCACCACGCCCTTGCCATGCACACGCGCACTTCACGCGTCTTCATAGACACAAAGATCCCCCACCCCGGTATAGCCTTCAGCTGACTCCTGGGGCAAGTGCTGCTAGCGAGCGAGCGCCTGTGAAGGCTGGACACGGCACACGGGGCGGGTGGGTGCGGCCAACACCACCCCCGGCCGCATTTGTCTCCCCGGTGACGATGCTTACACACCGCACCGGGTACTTACTCGTTTCAGGCTGAGTCGACCTAAGCAGAGGTCCAGGACCGGTTCAGAATAATCGTCGCTGGTTGTCGGTGGGTGGCCGCGAGCGGGGAAATCGAACTCGGCCCCCGTACGTGTGCACGCACACACGTGTTCACAGGCCGGTGATACACGTGCACGTGCACGCGCACACACACGTGCGCACACACACACGCGCAGACACACGTGCGCTTGCTCACCTGCGCTCTTCTTGCAGGTGAAGGTGAGGTGGTAGTTGCACGGAACGTCGTTCCACTGCCCGTTCTCGTGCCAGATGAGCACCACGCAGTCCTCGCCGGGTTCGAAGAAGCTGTCGGGTTGGTTGAGCCTCCAGTTCTCGTAGTCCTACCAAGGCCACGTGGCACAACGTCATCAACATCGTCATCGTCACCATCGACATCAACTTTGTCGTCATCGTCAACACCATCATCATCGACATCATTAAAACCATGCACATCATCTACATCATCATCATCCTTGTCATCAAAACCATGCACATCATCTACATCATCATCATCCTTGTCATCAAAACCATGCACATCATCAACATCATCATCCTTGTCATCAAAACCATGAACATCATCAACATCATCAACATCGTCATCATCATCGTCAACATCATCGTCGCCATCAACTTTGCCGTCATCAACACCATCATCGCCAACATCATCGTACTCGTCGCCGTTCGCCTGACGCGTAGGCTCAGCTCAATGCGAACACACTCGCAATGTTTTAGTAGTTGTCTAGATTGAGGCCACGTTCGGTGTCGTTCATCCCCCTGAATTTCAACAAATATCAATAAGACAGTACTCCATTTGTGGGGCTCAAGTGGGGGGGGGGGGGGGTGGGGGGGGGGCAATTACCCCCCCCCCCACGCCCCCCACTTAGTTCTGCCGCTGCGACGGGGACCCTTCCAGCCGTTGCCAAAATTTCGACTTGGGCCCACGACCACCATCATCAATACCCCCCTCTCCCTCCTCCCCTCTCCAGCCCCGCTCCCCCCCCCACGTGTCTCCCTGCCCCCCTCTCCCCCCTCAACTGCCCCCCCTCTCCCCGCTACCCCCCAACGTGTCTCCCCGCCCCCCCTCAACTCCCCCCCCTCTCCCCGCTCGCTCCCTCTCACGCGCGCGCAGTCCGTCTAGAGTCTGGACGGAGTCCCTTACCAGGTGGCTTCCGTCGCTCCAGTGAAAGTCGTTCTCGTACATCCTGTCGTTGAGGCCGATCCACTGGTACTGGCCGAGACCTGTCGAGAGAAAGAGAGACAAAGGTGGGCGGGCGGGGTAGCAAGCGTTTCCATTGGCGGCAGTGGCGGCTTGGCTTCGAGCTAGCCGTGTGAAGAGCCCATCGGTGGTGGCTGTGACCCCCTGACCGCTGACCTCCACTGAAACCCCCCCTCCCAAAAAAAGACAAAGATCCCCCGTATAGCCTTAACAGACTGTTGGGGCAAGTGCTGTTAGCGAGTAGCACCTGTGAAGAACGGCACGGCACACGAGGTGGGGGGGCAAAACCACACTCAGCAGCCTTTGTCTCCCCAGTGGCGATGTTTACACACCGCACCAGGTACTCATTTGAGGCTGAGTCGACTTAGTGGGGGCCCTGGACCAGGTACAAATCACCGAACTCGGTTCGCCGGGTTCAGTAGTGCAGCAAACAAACAGCAAGAGACAAAGATGCCCACGTGTGACCTTCAACAGACCGCAACACCACTACCGCCCCCCACACTGTGACCACCCCCACCACCACTACTCCGCCCTGTGCCACCCCTTCCTTGACCCACACACCGAGCGCCCCTCTCCCGTTCCCCCCGACCCCGACTGACCCCCGCCGACCCCCCGGGGAGGCGTACTGGTGAGGAAGCGCTGCTCCTCGCGCGAGTGCACGCTCGCCAGGTGGGCCCCGAAGGTGCGGCAGCTTCGCTCGGCGCGCTCCCAGTCGCGACGCTCCGTCACGTAGCGGTAGCAGTGGCCCTGGAACTTCTGCCAGCCCGGCTCGCAGATCTCCGTGTCTGGCGACAGCGAGCGTGGGACGGACGGCGAGCAGAGACGGCGAGCAGAGACAGCAGAGTCGAGACAGCAGAGTCGAGACAGACAGGGAGCAGAGACAGCGAGCGTAGAGACACACAGAGCAGAGACAGCAAACAGGGACAGAGAGAAGAGACAGCGGCGGCAGCGTTAGTCACGACGATCTGCGCCCGAGTGAGCCCCCCCCCCTTCTCCCCCTCCCCTCCATGGCTCATCAGAATCAAAATTTTTATTTATACCGGAGGAATCCGACGAGCTATAAAACTTTTTCCCCAGCACAGATGTCCAGTAGGGGCACGCGGTCAGAACAATACAAAATCACTCTTAAAAAAGTACAAACAATACCAAACTTGTTTTATCTTACCAGGTAAAGCCCACACTGGAGGTATGAACATATTTTTCAGAAGCGACCTGGCCACACGCAATGATGGGTCAACGGAGTGCCTTGTCGTCATGTGGATAGCTGCAGAATCACGGCCTGGTCACGTCACGGCGTCCCGGGCGGCGGTGACGATCGCCGTCGCAAGGGTCGAGCGCAAACTCACCCCTGGCGAGTCCCGAGGTCACGCGGCGCCAGAAACCTCGCTCGCGCTCCACGTGGCAACGGTCCGATTCATTGCCCGGGCTCGCTGTGCCGTCCCCGAGTCCCAGGTGTCGAGTGCAGCGATTAAGGCTTGCGGGTACGTGTGTTGCGTTCACGGGGGTTAGGGCCAGGGGGCGATAGAGCGTTTTTTTTGTTTGTTCTCAACGTCACATTCCACGCGGGGATTCAAGTCGCGCCAGTCTTCGTGAAAAAAGAAAATCTCCCACGAGAGATCTCGGACTCACCCTCCTCGCAGTGCTTGCCGGCGTAGCTGGGCAGGCACTGGCACGAGTAGGAGGCCACGTGGTCCACGCACGTGCCGCCGTTGTGGCAGGGGTTGGACTCGCACTCGTCCACCTCTGTGAACGCAGCGAGATCGGTTCCTGAGTGATCACACGAGCGGGGGGACCCCACGTGGCGACGCCATGCCCGGCGCCTCGCTCGGCCAGATGAACATCTCAGTTGACGATTGACCCCCATTGTTCTCGACTGGACTAATAGTTGGCGATTGGACCAATCGTTAGTGATTGGACCGATAGTTATTGATCGTTGGCGATTAGCCCCGATCGTTCTCGATTGGACCGTTCGTTGGCGATTGGACCGATAGTCCGCGAGTTTGACCTTGATTGTTTATTTGGACCCATTGTTGGTAACGGGACCAACAGTAAATTGCCTTCTTCTAAGTGCTACGAGGTCAAGGCTCTGTGTCTGCAGGGGCGATCGGGCTTTTGTCTTTATTGTTATTAAACTAGCGCCGTAACAATCACCCGCCCGTTCAATCAATTGTTTCATTTCAGAGTATGTGTGTACGTAGAACTTATTTCGCGCCGTACGTAGCCAACTGTGCTAATCAGAGAGTTGTGATAACGATAAAAAACGGCTACATTCACAACAATGGGGGAAACGTAGCAGCCTCTAGCGGCTGAGTCGCCTGAGTGACACTGTGATGTATTTTAAATAGAATAATTCATTTATTGACTCACCGACTTCGCATCGGTCCCCGGAGTAGCCCGGCTCACAGACGCAGTGGTGCTGCCCCTCGTAGGACACGCAGCGCCCGCCGCTCTCACACGGGTTCTGCTCGCAGTCTAGCCGAGGCGACAGAAAGAGAGAGGGATATGGTGCCAATGATTAATTCGACGTTCGCCAGCAGCGCCGACCGCTCCGATGCCGCGTGAGAGGCCCCCGAGTGAGGGTGACCGACTTCGCCGGGTCGTTTGTGAGGTTGCGCTGTGCCCGCCCTCGCGAACGCCGCCCCGCTCACCCGGCAGGGAGAGCACCAGGCTCTCGTCGGGGAATGGCGTGCCGGCAACCGAGCTGTCCTCCTCCCACTCGACGATGGAATACGGCGTGAACGCATGGGGTACTGCGACGTCTTCCTCCGAGGGCCCCACGGCGTGGCCCGACACCGGAGGACCGGTGGCGGTCGTCGCTGACGATGGCTCCCCCGACTCATCGCCCTCGTCCTTTCCGACGGCCGGCGTGTCAGATGCCGGGACGCCCGCGGCCTCCGCAGACGCCCCTCCGTCGTGGACACCGGCCTCGGGGTCGACGACGGAGGGCCAGTTCCAAACGTTCTCCTCTTCCGGCGCGTTGCTGCTCGTCTCGGCTCCCTGTGGCCGCTCGTCGATGCTCGAGGGCTCGTGGAAGTCCCCCAGAGGGGCCGGAGTGACTGGTGAGTTTGCAGCGATTTCATTCTCGTCATCGTCGTCGCTGTCTACGTTCGACTGAGTAGACAGCTGTCCAGCCGACGGGACCGCGGGAGCTAGGGCGGTCTCTCCCGGCAGTTCGTTCGCCAGTGCGTTGTTTTCGTCCGCGGGAATTGGCCTTCCAAACGGGATGCCATCGCCCCTCTCCTCCTTCTCCTCTTCCTCTTTGTCGTCAGCGTGCGCGTGCGCGGGAAGCTTCACGGTCACGTTCGGGGACGTTCCGTGCGTAGAAGAGATGCTGGGCTGTTCTGCCGGAGTCGTTTCCGGCTCGCCGGGAAAGGTGGTGCCATCAACGCCGCCCGGCTCCCGGTCGGCGTGAGCAGTCGGCGCGGTGCCGGTGGGTCCGTCCGCTTCTTTGTCGGCCTCTGCAGCTTCTTTCTCATCCGCCTCCTCTACAAAACCTTCGTAGGCCTTCTCCTCTACCCACTCGGCCGGCCGCTGGTCGTGGGCACCCGACGGTCCGTGCGGCGCTCCCTCTGCGAAAACGTCGTCCGACGTTTGGGGAGGGGGCTCGTTGGTCGAGCGCTCACCGTCGGCCCGCCCCTCCGTTTGCTCGCCCTCCGGGTACTGCTCGCCCGGGTGCTCTTTGTCGGGGATTTTGATCTGGGACAGGATGGGTGACACCGCCTCCTGGGGTTCGTTCCTGTTGCCGTTGTTGCCGTTCGGCTCCATCGGCGCCGCGGGAACGGGGGTGGTGACGGACGCGATGAGGACCAGCGGCACGTTCGGCAGGGCCCCCTCTCCGCTCGACTCCTCCTCCTCATCGGCGTGCGACCTGCCGCTCTCGGCGGGAGGGTGAGCCGAGATGAAAAGGCCCTGCGGTGTCTCCGGCGTCAGCGAGGCTACCTCCAACGCCTGGGACGGCTCTCTGTCGAGGGCGCCCACGTCCGTGTCATCGGCAGGTGCGGCGCCTTCCACCCGAGGCTCGACGAAAGGATCTTCGAGTTGCGGCGACGCCACCGTCCAGGGCTCTCCACTGCCTTCGGGCGACGTCTCCACGCCACTTGCGGCCGTGGCGACGTCTGTTCCCTCGCCTCCCTCCGCCCCCGACTCTCCCGCGAAGTGCGGCCACTCTGCGCCAGACGCCTCCGATGCGGCTTCCGGATGAGGAGTGCCCATGATCCCGTCTTCTGGCATCGTCACCTCGGGTTTGCCTGTGGAGGCTTCGATCAAAGCGTCATCATCGTTGTCGCCCCCCTCGCCGCCCTCGCCCGCGTGCTTCTCATCGGGCAGATCGGCCACGGGGGAGATGCGGGGACCCGGCTGCAGCTCAGGAAGACCGGACCACTCCGTCGATGCGACCTCCTGCTCCTCCTCCTGCTTCTCCTCCTGCTCCTCCCCGGATGGTGAAGTTGGCACCGGCTTCTCTTCTTCTTCGGAAGAAGAAGAAGAGTCGCCGCCGCTGCTCGCCGGCTCTGCGAGCAACGCGGGTGGCAGCGTGGCCACGTCGCTGTTGAGGTCGATCCCCGCAGAAGCTTCTGGGGCAAGAGGCTCCACTGGGGTGGGAGAGGTTGCCAGGACGATGCTCTCTACGCCGTGCGAAGCCTCCAGAAGAGGAGACAGCTCATCAGACTCCTTGGATTCTTCAGACTCCTCGGACTCCTTGGACGACGGAGGCTGAGGTTCGGCCTCCTTGTCCGTCCCATCCACGTCTCCGGAACCTACGGAACAGGAAACGCCGATTCAACGTTCACCGGCGAATAAAACAGCGGTCGCGAACGAGTCGTGCTCCACAAGGATGGCCACGCCAACGCTTCATTTATCCGGTGACTGAAATTTCAGAAGTGTCCCCCCCCGCCTCCCCCTCTCGAGGTCGGCGCGTGAACCGACTGCAGGGCTCGCCGTTCGTGGCAGCGCTGGGAGCCGTTTATTTGGAGAGAGAACTGACAGCGCTTTGCAGAAGGAGAAACATTAAATTCCCACGTGGATTATGCGGAGCCCCTCTCGGTCTTTCGGCTGACAGATTGAAACAAACAGCCGCCATGAGATGTGCCATGCACGTTAATTAAAAATAATAACGAGCGGTTTTCTAAAGCAAAAAAACAATAAGTGGGAAAAAATAAATAGCAACCTCCCTCGCCCCCCCCCCCCATCCTGCCCATGCCCATGCCCAGAAAACTAAAACAAACTAAAGGATAAGTCTCCCTCACCAAACATTACAACGCCGCACCGACTCGTACCGCATGTGGTTCGGGCAATGATGCCCGACGTTTCGCTCCTTCTCCTATAAGCGTCGCGGTGTGAGAACGACGCCAGGGCGCGTCGGCATAGCCGAGTCGATCGCCGCGATGGATGGAGCGTGCCGTTGCTGAAATGCGGTCTTTTTTTATTGTCGTTTTAACTTTTTTTCGGAGGCAACAACTTTTGTGGTCCAATCAATTGTCACCGTATGTGCGGATGCAAAAGTTGACGGTCGGGCAAGCAGGTCGCAAGCCTACGCCATGTGCGCCCATTCGTGTTATGCAGTTCCCCCCAATCTAATTAAATGGCCCAATCTGTCACGCGTCTTGCCGGACATCTTAAGGAGGTGGGCGTACCTAACCTACACTTTAACCCACCGCACACGACTAACTGTCACCACCACCATCATCATAAGAAGCCATGGTCAATCCACTGCTGGATGAACGCCCCCCCAAACCGCCGGCCACCTGCCCTTCTCCTGCGATGCGAGAATCCGCCCAGCAACCGCACCACTGAGACAGCCGCCCTCGTTATTTGACAACGCTAGTCCTTTACTGCGGTGGACGGGGGGGGGGGGGGGGGGCGGGAGGGGGCAGGTTAGCAGGTTAGAAGGTCGCGGGTAGGGGGGGGGGCGGCGGTTACCTTCGGGGGCAGACTCCTGCAGGGCGCTGGGAAGTGTGGACGGCTCCTGAGCTTCGTCCGGAGACGTCTCGCTCCCGGCCAGCCCCTCTCCTGGCATCTCTACGTGAGCGGCCGGCGAAGACGTGGCACCAGACGGTGTGGGTTTGACGGCCACGGATGGCAGCACCTGCACGAAGCCCTCGTCGATGTCCTGCGTCTCTGGTGGCGACGATGGATGGCGTCCCTCATCGCCGTCCACCGGCGCCGCGGTCGACTCGGCGATGATGGCGTAACCGGCATAGTCGTCTCGGCCGCGGTCCAGCAGCCGGGCCTGCGCCGCGATTTGCTCCTTCAGCGTGGGGAAGGCGCCGTGCGTCTCGTAGCTCGCCGGGGCCGCTGCTGCGTGAGCACCGGCCGGCGCCGTGGTGGGGTGATTGGCGTCGGAGCCTAGCGGCGCCTCCTCCATGTCGGCATCCGGCGCGGATCGTTCCGGTTCGTGCGATTCTTCCGAAAGTGCCGCTGCCGCCGTCGCCCCCGCCGCCGCTTCGGATGCGGGCGCCGGTGCCGGCCCCTCCTCTTCGTCCGCCTCGGGCTCCGCGGTTTTGACCACGACCGGCGGCGATATCGGCGAGGAGTCGACGTGGTTTCCCGAGCCTTCGGTCGTGTCGTCGTCGCTCTCGGTCACTGACTCGGGCAGCATCTGCACGGTCGTCATCAGTGTTGACAGAGTCGGCGCCACCATCTCCTCCACGTGGCCCTTGGCCTCGTCTGGCAAGGGAGCGGGAGCAGCATCGCCAGAGTCATCCTCCTGCTGGTGCTCGGCGAGTGAGACGATGGCGTTCGACTCCTCCGAGGGCTCGGTCGTTGCTTCCCCATCCACCGCTTCGATCGTGACGCCGCTACCTTCGCCGTCCACGCTGGCGGCCAACGCCGGCAAGCTGGCATGCGAAGGCCCCGCCGTGATTTCTTCTTCCACCCCGGAGTCTTGGGAGATGAGCACGTCCGGCTGAGCGACTGGTGGGCCTTCACCAGGCGACTCTACTCTCCCCACCAAGTCCGACGTTTCGGGAAGCTCCGCCGGCGTTGGCTCATCGCCTCCTGGCGCGTCAACTTTCCCCAGAGCTTTGGCGGTCGTAGCTTCGACCTCGTCGTTTGCGAGGTCTCCCTCCACGTGGCTGACGGCCTCTTCTGCCAACGCTGCCGACGGAGTTGCCTCGGTGTGTTCAGCCTCGTCCGAAGATGAAGGAGGAGGAGAAGATTCGTCATGGGGTCGCTCCGTTTGAGTCAGCACGTCCACGAGGGCCATTTCTGGGCCCGTCGACGTTTCGACGGGAGGTTCGGCCTCCACCGGCGTATCGCCCGCAATGACGACCTCCGGCCCTGAATGAGGAGGTGAATCGTCATCATCGTCATCGGGTAGTGGTGTCCTCTCCTCTTCTGATATTGGAAATGGTGGCTCTGAAGAAGGATTTTCGTCTTCAAGTGATGTTTTATCGTCCTCGGGTGTAGACGGTGATGGTTCTGAGGGGAAAGGTTCTTGCTCATGATGTGCGCTGTCATCTTTGGGTGATGTCTTCTCCTCGAGTATCAGAGATGATGGCAAAGGTGGCGTGGAAGTTTCTTGTTCATGACTTGTGACCACATCTCCTGGCGATGTCTTCTCAGGTGTCAGAGGTGACAGTTCTTCAGGTGTGAGAGATGAAGGTTCTTCATGACCGGTGACCTCACCTTCAGATGATGTCTTCTCAGGTGTCAGAGGTGACAGTTCTTCAGGTGTGAGAGATGAAGATTCTTCATGACCGGTGACCTCACCTTCAGATGATGTCTTCTCAGGTGTCAGGGACAAAGGTTCTTCATAATCTGTGACCACATGTCCTGACAATGTCTTCTCAGGTGTCAGGAACGACAATTCTTCAGGTGTGAGAGATGAAGGTTCTTCATGACCCGTGACCTCACCTTCAGGTAAAAGCTTCTCAGGTGTCAAGGGTGATTGTTCTTCATGATTAATGATTACCACAGCTCCTGGTGATGCCTTCTCTGGTGTCAGAGGTAATAGATCTTCAGGTATCTGAGATTGTTCATGACCCATGTCCTCACCTTCAGGTGATGTCTTTTCAGGTGTCAGGGATGAAGGTTCTTCATAATCTGTGACCACATGTCCTGACAATGTCTTCTCAGGTGTCAGGAACGACAATTCTTCAGGTGTGAGAGATGAAGCTTCTTCATGACCCCTGACCTCATCTTCATGTGATTTCTTCTCAGGAGTCAGAGGTGATGGTTCTTCATGATCTTTGACCACATCTCCTGACAAAGTCTCCTCAGGTGTCAGGAACGATGGTTCTTCAGGTGTCAGAGATGAAGCTTCTTCATGACCCCAGACCTCAACTTCAGGTAAAGTCTTCTCAGGTGTCAGAGGTGACGGCTCTTCCGGTGTCTGAGATGCTGATTCTTCAGGTGTCAGAGAGGAAGGTTCTTCATGACCCATGACCTCGCCTTCAGGTGATGTCTTTTCAGATGTCAAAGGTGTCAGTTCTTCATGATCTGCAACCACATCTTCAGGTGATGTATTCTCAGGTGTCAGAGGTGACGGATCTTCATGATCTGTGACCACATCTTCTGGCGATATCTTCTCAGGAGTCAGAGGTGATGGTTCTTCATGACCCGTGACCTCACCCTCAGATGATGTCTTCTCAGGTGTCAGATGTGATGGTTCTTCATGATCTTTGACCACATCTCCTGGCAATTTCTTCTCAGGTGTCAGGAACGACAGTTCTTCAAGTGTCAAAGATGAAGGTTCTTCATGACCCGTAACCTCACCATCAGGTGATGTTTTCTCAGGTGTCAGTGGTGATGGTTCTTCATGATCTGTGACCACATCTTCTGGCAATGTCTTCTCAAGTGTCAGATGTGATGGTTCTTCATGATCTTTGACCACATCTCCTGGCGATGTCTTCTCAGATATCAGGAACGACAGTTCTTCAGGTGTTAGAGATGAAGGTTCTTCATGACCCGTAACCTCACCTTCAGGTGACGTCTTCTCAGGTGTCACAGGTAATGGTTCTTCATGATCTGTGACCATATCTGACGATATCTGCTCAGGAGTCAGAGGCAATTGTTCTTCAGGTGTCTGAAATGCCAAATCTTCAGGTATCAGAGATGAAGGTTCTTCATGACCCGTGACCTCACCTTCAGGTGATGTCTTATCAGGTGTCAGAGGTGACGGTTCTTCATGATCTGTGTCCACATCTGGCGATATCTTATCAGGAGTCAGAGGTGATGGTTCTTCAGGTGTCTGAGATGCCGATTCTTCAGGTGTCAGAGAGGAAGGTTCTTCATGACCCGTGACCTCACCTTCAGGTGATGTCTTTTCAGATGTCAGAGGTGACGGTTCTTCATGATCTGTGACCACATCTGGCGATATCTTCTCAGGAGTCAGAGGCGATGGTTCTTCAGGTGTCTGAGACGCCAATTCTTCAGGTGTCAGAGATGAAGGTTCTTCATGACCCGTGACCTCACCCTCAGGTGATGTATTATCAGGTGTCAGAGGTGACGGTTCTTCATGATCTGTGACCACATCTGGCGATATCTTCTCAGGAGTCAGAGGCGATGGTTCTTCAGGTGTCTGAGATGCCAATTCTTCAGGTGTCAGAGATGAAGGTTCTTCATGACCCGTGACCTCACCCTCAGGTGATGTATTATCAGGTGTCAGAGGTGACAGTTCTTCATGATCTGTGACCACATCTGGCGATATCTTCTCAGGAGTCAGAGGTGATGGTTCTTCAGGTGTCTGAGATGCCAATTCTTCAGGTGTCAGAGAGGAAGGTTCTTCATGACCCGTGACCTCACCTTCAGGTGATGTCTTTTCAGGTGCCAGAGGTGACGGTTCTTCATGATCTGTGACCACATCTGACGATATCTGCTCAGGAGTCAGAGGTGATGGTTCTTCAGCTGTCTGAGATGCCGATTCTTCGGGTGTCAGAGAGGAAGGTTCTTCATGACCCGTGACCTCACCCTCAAGTGATGTTTTCTCAGGTGTCAGATGTGACGGTTCTTCATTATCTGTGACCACATCTGGCGATATCTTCTCATGTGTCAAAGGTGATGGTTCTTCAGGTGTCTGAGATGCCGATTCTTCGGGTGTAGGAGATGAAGACTCTTCATGATCTGCGACCACGTGTCCCGGCGAAGTCTCCTCAGGTGTCGCGGACGACAGTTCTTCATGACCAGTTAGCACGACTTCAGGTGATTTCTCCTCCTCCTCCTCCTTGGGTAACGGAGATGATGGCTCTGAAGTAGCAGAATGTTCTTCTTCGTGACCTGTGACCTCATCTCGTGGCGACGTCGCCTCCTCCTGCTGCTGCTCGACCGCGAGTGGCGGTGCTTGTGCCTGCACGCTGGCTTCTTCCTCCACCTCCTCCACCTCCTCCACCTCCTCCTTCGAAGAGGAGGAGCTCATCGGCGGTGTCACCTGCTCGTCTTGGTCGGGGTCGCTCGCGAGTTGAGCAGGAGGAGTTGGAGGGGCCACGTTTTGGGCCTGCTGCGTCTCCTCGGCCCGAGAGGCCAGCGCTGGCTCCGGCAGAGCGGGTTGGTTTCCTGACACGCATTTGGAACGCGGCATTAATTCGACGAGGGGGGGGGAAATGCATTAACTTGCGATTATTTACACACTTTTTGTCTTTGTTTATTTATCGCCAAACTTTTTACCCACTTTTAAATGGCAAGTTACGCGGTGATACTGTGCTCGGCAGTGGCTCGCGAGCGCAAAATACGCAGGTGCCCCCTAAACACTCACACACACACACATGCTTACACACACATGCTTACACACACATGCTTACACACACACGCTCACACACGCTCACACACGCTCACACACACAAACACACACGCTCACACACACACACGCTTACACACACACGCTCACACACACACACACACGCTCACACACACGCTCACACACACACACACATGCTTACACAAACACACACGCTCACACACACACACAAACGCTCACACACACACGCTCACACACACACACGCTCACACACACACACGCTCACACACACACACACGCTCACACACACACGCACACGCTCACACACTCACACACACACACCCCTCACCTCTGTAGCAGTAGGCGTCGAAGCGCGAGTTGGGGCTGGGGAAGCCCGTCTGGTTGGCGTAGCGGTACTTGGTGCGGACGCCCGGCACGGGCCCGCCGCAGTTCTGCCGCGGCCACACGATGGGGTAGCGCGCGCTGCCGTCCGCCAGCCAGCCCTCGTCGCAGCGGTCGAGGCCCGCGAACTTCCACGCGGCATACAGCTGCCCCACGGTGGCCAGGCCGCCGCCGAGGGCCTCGCACACGCTGCGGGCCTCGCTCAGGGTCAGGCGGCCCGGGGAGGTCGTGTGGAACACCTCGACTAGGAGGGACGGGACGGGGTGGGTGGGTGGGAGAGCGCGAGCGTCAATACGCGGCGCCGTGCGTATGGAGAGCGGTGGTGCAGCGGGTAGCGGCGACGCTGCGCCACGAACCCGGCGGCCAGTGCCGCATTATCGTAGTAGCACAAGTAGCTGCATGTGTAGTAGCTACATATGTAGTACCTGGTAGTAGCTACATATGTAGTAGCTACGGGCCCCGCACTTTCAAGGGCCCTGCGCTAAATGCTTTCAAGCTATCAATTCCGGATCAGTGATTCTGCACTTGCTCTATTACTATAGTACTATACTGCCTTCAACTTTTATAAACGACTGGGTGTTTAAGGTTAGCGATTTGTTGTATTACAATAATATTATTGTGCAAGTAAAAAAAGTGTGTTTTAATATTTATGCATATTTTTTTTATTTAGGGCCCATTTATAACATATGCTACAGGCCACGCACTAGCTTAATCCGGCACTGCCGGCGGCTCGAGTTCGATCGCCGCTCACGGTCACAGACGCCAGTGACGGTTATCTGAAACGGTCCTGGGCCTTCCCCTAGGTCGACTCAGCCTCAAATGAGTACCTGGCGAGATGCATAGGTAAAGGCGGCCAGGCATGGGTGCTGGCCACCCACCCCCTCGCGTGCCATTCCGGCCTTCATAGGTGCTCGCTAACAGCACTTGCCCCAACAGCCTTTTTAACTTATACCAGGGATCTTTGTCTCTTATCGTCGTGTGTGTGTGTGTCGAGTGATGAGTGTGTGTAGGTGAGGCGAGAGCGAGTGAGAGTAAGTGGATGAGGTTCGTGAAGGCCTCTACTGGACAGTTGGAGTCAGTCGCCCTCCAACAACAACAACGGGGGGCACAGATGGTGCATCTACCCATCTCAGTCGGTCAACACCATGCCATCTGCTGGGTCTGTTCCCGTGACCTCCTCCTGACAACAGCTTCAAGCGATAGCCTCAAAGCGCACCTATCCTGGCACAAGCGCCGTGGTGACTTCACCGTCACTTAGTGGCGAACTGGCTGCTGTCGTTACGGGCTGCGGGAGAGTGGCGTTGCCCTTCCTCCGCACCCACGATTATTAGCACGGTCGGCTACGCACGGCGCGAAAGAATTTGAACCCGCGCGTACGTGGGCGCGCACAAACCTGCGAGCCTCTCGGTGAAGCAGTACGCGTCGTACGTCTCGTGCGCGGCGCGCTGGCCGTACGAGCGCACGCCCGGGTTGCCGTTCTTGTCCGCGTAGCAGCCGGGCCTCGGCCGGATGATGGGATACCTGCGAGAGGCGGGTGGCAACGGGGAGGGGGGGGGGTTGAGGGCACCAGGGAGAACAGCGGGCGCCGGATTAAAGAGGGTGCGATAAGACGCGAGTTCACGCGCGCCCGCGTCGGTCGATCGAGAGACCTGCGGCAAAGGGAGACGGTGGGGAGGGAGTTCCAGAGCCGAGCAATGCTCGGAGAGAGCCATGGTGAGCGACGTGACTCATCATGCCGGGCGTAGGTGAGAGACACGTTGCTGAACAGGTGAAGAGACATGGGTGAGAGACACGCGGCATTGCAGGCGAAGGACATGCCACGTGGCTTTGCAGGCAAGCCTCGGCGAGCGACGCGTGACTTTGCAGACTAAGGACATGCCACGTGGCTTTGCAGGTGACGCGAGGTGAGAGGCACGCGGCATTGCGAGGGGGGGGGGGGGGAGCGCAGGCGAGTTGAGAGACGCGCGACTCTGCCAGCCGAGCGACCCGTCGTCGTCGTCACTGGCCGGTCGTGGTGCAAAGCGAGTCTCTCACCGCACGCTCCGGTCGGAGAGCCAGCCGGCGTCGCACTGGTCCATGCCGTCCTCGTACGCGGCCTGCAGCTGCTGCGGCGAGGCGAGGCGCGCCCCGTTCTGGGCGCACGCCGCCTGCGCGCTCGCGAAGTCCAGGGTGTAGCGGCTCTGCGCCGAGCGGTAGTGGAACACCACACCTGGCGCGGGAGGGAGACGCGGGGGGGGGGGGGGGAGACGACAGGGGCTTGCTTCGTTCCAGCCGGAGCTGTCCCGGGGCAGAGCTCTGGAAAATGTTGTTCCACTCCGCCTTTCGTCGTTGGTGGGGGGGGGGGGGGAGTTGGGTGTGCAGGGTGGGGGGGGGAAGGGAGAGGCTGTGCACCACGGTGGCTAGGAGATGTTAACTACCTCGCCTGGTATGCAGGAGGTCGTGGGTTCGATCCCGACCCCGATGCCTGCTGCTGTATATTTTGAGTTTGCGTGTCTCTCTCTCTTTCCCCATGGTCGCGTTGATTTTTCTTCGAGTCCTCTGGTTTTTCCCTCCACATTTTAGAATCAACATCACGCGTTTAGAGTATTCGGCTGCTGTAAATATCCACGTGATGAGCCCGCTTCGTCGAGTGATCATTTGTGGCTAGGTGGCTTCTGAAAAAGAGCTACGTTGCTAAGCGGGCCTTACCCGGTGAAGACAAAAATGCTGCCCTCTGCCTTTTCCCGTTGGTGTGGGAGAAATGGAATGATGATTGGGGGGGAGAGGTGGGGGGAGAGGAGGGAGGGATAGTTGGTTGTGCCGGTGGGGGTCCGGACGGATGGGGGCTCGGAAAATATTCTATGATAACAGAAACATGAAGTGGCGCTGGTGAGACGAGAGTGCGGAGGGGGAGGGGAAGAGGGGAGACAGCCACGGGGACGAGATGTAAGGGAGCGAGAGAGAGGATTGGAGATTGGAGGGGGAGAGAGTTGAGAGGGAGGCACGTAGCGTCGAGTCGTAAGAGAGAGAGGAGAGTGGAGGGGATAGAGGGGAGAGAGGTATGTGGGAGGGGGAAGATAGAGGAAAAGAGATGTAAGAGTGAGAGAGGGGGGGAGGATGGATGGATGGAGAGGAAAGAGATGGAGGAGAGAAGGTAGCTAGAGAGAGAGAGAGGGGTAAATGGGAAGGCCCGAGCGTGAGAGGGAGATTGTGATGTTAAAGGGTAAGACAAGGTACATCGCAACGACTGATGATGATGACGACATCGATGATGATGACGACATCGACGACGACAATTGCTCGTGGGGTGACGACAACAACGACGGCCACACCGCTCACCATCGACCAGCAGCTCCACCACGTCCCTCTCGTCGTCCATGCCGGCCATCACCTCGCAGCGATACGTGCCGCGATCGGAGTCGCGCAGGAGCGAGATTTCGAGCGAGGCGTCTCCGCTCGCCGCGTCTCCGCCACCGTGGGGCGCCAGGAACCGCGGCAGGGAGACGCGGCCCTCGAACCCGGGACCCGCGCGCGAGTGGAGGTTCTGCGAGACGATCACGTCCGCCCAGTGTCCGTCGGCGCCCAACTTGCTCCACTTGACGCGCGGTCGCGAGTGTGTGCCGGCCGGCGTCGGTGGCACGGTGCCTCGGTCGACGTGGTCGTCCCCGTGGTGGTGGTGGTGGTGCTTGTGGTGGTGGTGCTTGTGGTGGTGGTGGTGCTTGTGGTCACGGTCGGGAGGAGGGTGGCTCGCCGCCACCTCCTCGTCGTCGTGGGGGTTGTGCGCGTAGCTGCAGGGGAGGGTCACCGTCCCGGCGAGGACGCCGCGCACGGGCGCTTGCCGGGCCGCGCGAACCTTCATGGCCTTCGGTGTGGGCACGTGACCCGAGGCTGCAGGAGAAAGGGGGCGATGGTGGTGAGACGAAGATGATGATGAGGATGATGATGATGGTGGTGGGCGTCGTCATCAGAAGCGGGAGCAACGTCAGCAGAAGCAACAACCGTGGCGGTGGCAGAAGCAGCAACATTCATCATCACCATCAGCGGTAGAGGAATCATTCGCAGCAACTTTAACGTCAAAAGCATCATCGTCGTTATCATCATCAGTAACATGTTCGTGATGGTCTTAATAATCACCATCAATATTTCCATCCACCACCATCGTAGCACGTGTTAACACAGAGCGTTGCGTTATCCGCCTCGCCCTTCAGTCATCGTCAGCGTTCTCTGTTTACGAAGTAGAATTGAGTCAATGATGATAATGATGACGACTATCATAATTATCGTCATCAACTACGATGAAAACAAGTTGAATCGAGGTCATGATGATAATGCTGACGACCAATGACCATAATCATCGATGACAGAATGCGCGGATTACAAATGTATTGATGGCGATTATGATTATCGTAGTGATGATGATGACTGAGTGTATCACCAAGGCATAGAGACAGCGATTTTGGTATCAACGAGACACCCATTTTGTCTGGTCGATATCAAGATGATGATGAAAACAAAGAAACAAGGACCTTAACACCTGCACCATTGTCGGGAATGCTTACAGCCTATTCTTCTTCTACTTCTTCTCATCAGCGATGTCTGCGTGACGATAACCGATGAGCGAGCGATGTGCGCCCGGCCACCACGTGTTTGCAATAAGCCCCGCAAAGCCGACCGCTCTGCGTCCCTCACTCTCGTGGGTGGCGGCGGCTCGTGCGTGCGCGCGTGCCTCCCTCTGCTTCCCGGCAGCAACAATTAAAAAAAGCACCGCGACGTTTCCACGACGTTGCTAAGACGTTGCCACGCTCGCGTCGACGCACAACAACAACTCCGCCGCTCTACGCGAGCGGAGCGCGAGCGGCGGTGCGGCGGTCAGCGCCGCGCTGCGCTACGAACCCGGCGACCCGGGTTCGATTCCCGCTCACGGCCAACACCGGTGACGATTATCTGAGCCGGTTCTGGACCTCCCCTAGGTCGACTCAGTCTCAAATCAGTACCCGGTGCGGTGCGTAAACATCGCCACTAGGGAGGCAAAGGCGGCCGGGCGTGGTGTTGGCCACCCACTCCCTCGTGTGCCGTGCCGGTCTTCGTAGGTGCTCGCTAACAGCACTTGCCCCTACAGTCTGTTAAGGCTATACGGCGGGTCTTTGTCTTTGTATACGCTGCACTGGACGCGTTCTGGATGCGTGGGGAGCGGTGGCGCGCGGCCGTCAGCGCAACAGAGCCACGGCGAGCCGAGTTCGATTCTCGCTCACGGCCAAAACCGGCGACGAAGTCTATGGACAAGTCCGGGGCCTCCTCTTGGTGAAAAACAAAGCAGTGGCTGGTGCGGTGTGTAGTGAGCATCGTACACTTGGGGAGACAAAGGCGGCCTCTGCGTCGTGGTGTTGAACCACCACACACCCGCGGTTGCCGCGCCTTCATTACGTTTCTACGAGCTAACAGCACTTGCCCCAACAAGCTACACGGAGGGGATCTTTGTCAATGTAGTTGTGTGCCCCCCCACTCCCCCCGCCTACTCCCCCCCCCACCCCCCCCCCCAAATAATTTTCGCCGCTCGTTTGTGAGCACGCGCGTAATGCGCCAGCTGTTTCAACAACAGCAGCAGCAGCCCCGGAGCGCGGCGCGTGTCACGGGCGCGCGCGCGCGCATGCGTCTCATCTCATGCCAATGCGGCCGCGTCAGCTTGCCGCCGAGTAAAGCGATCCCGACCACGAGGCGGAGGTCCTTAGGAGTTTCGAGTAACAGCAGCAGCGGGACGAGGGGATGCCGCCGGTGTGAATGGGTTCTCAGCAGCACCACCAACAGCACCACCACCAGCAGCACCACCACCACCAGCAGCACCACCACCACCACCAGCACCACCACGCTGGGCTTCCAATGCAGAAAGGTCGCACAGCGCACCCATTCAAGTCGCCGACGCAGCCGCTTGCAAAGTGCTGGGGCAGGTTTCTTAAAATCCGCACTCCTCCGCCTTCGTGTCTCACCCGCACTCATGATAACAAAGACAAAGATCCCCCATATAGCCTTCACAGGCTGGAGGGGCAAGTACTGTTAGCGAGCACCCCTTCCCCGCCCCGTAACAGCGACAGCTGCAACCAAACTCCTCAACAACAACAACAACAATCAGGATGATGATGATGAAGAAATAATAATTGCCAGAACGCTCCGGCGGCCGTTTACGCAATTTGCGAAACGCGGCAACAGGCGGTGCGAGCGGTGACGTGGCACTGCGGTGATGACGTCACAGTCGCTCCGCGTGACCAGCCTCGCTCGCGCCCAGGCACGCGCGCGCGCACGTGCGCACACAGCCCCCCCCCCTCACATCGCCCCCCCCCCCCCGTATGCGTGCACACGTGACGGCCGAGACAAAGACAAAGGTTTGCCTCTGCCGCACGATTGGTTGTAGACGTTTAAACGGGCTGATGGGGCTCGACCGGCGGGGGGGGGGGGCTAGCACCACGATCGATTCGATGGACGTGTCGTTTGGTGCAGGGAATTGATTTGTAATCGACGCCTGCCATACCTTTCAGACAAAGGTGCCTCGTGTAGCCAATGGAGTGCCGTTAGCGAGCGCCTATTGTGCGTGGACCATCATCACGCCCGGCTGTCCTTTGTCTTCCCGGCACTGATATTTTACACACCGTGGCAGGTACAAATATAAAGAACCCCTCCCCCCCCGTATAGCCTTAACGGACTGTTGGGGCAAGTGCTGTTAGCGAGCACCTAATGAAGGCACCAGGTACACACACGCGCGCACACGCATACACACAACTCAATGCAACACGCGCTGATGCACGTGCTTCCTCACGCGGAACGTGCGCATCTCACCAGCCGTGGCAGCGACGTTGAAGATGACCACGCCGACGGTGGCGACGGCGATGATGAGGGCGGCGGAGGAGCGGGGCCGGCCGCTCGCGCCGTGGGGAGAATGGAGAGGCTTCATCCTGGGACCCGCCATCCGAGAACCTGAATTGGAGCAAAAAAAAGTACGAAAGAAGGCAAAGTTTTACTTCACGTTTACAGCTCTGGGTGGAAAATTCCACCTTACGTGGACGGGGACGAGTCTCTTTATAGGACAACCGCTTTTGAGTTTCCCGCAAAGTGGTACTAATTTTATCGACCCTACGAGGATGACGGTCTGGGTCCATCCCTAACCAGGATTCGACTTGTCAACATTCCAATTGCGTTATTTAAAAACCACGCGCTGCCATTTACATCCGCAGAGTTGGGATTTCTTATTGAAAAAACGGCGATAAGAAGACAGCTTTGCAATCAGCGCATGGTACCCGCGCGGGCACCGATCAGACACGGGAAACGTGGAGACCGACAAACGTTGAGCGAGACCTGAAATGTGCCCAAAGAAGCATGGAGATAGGCAGAGTGCTGGGAATGACACCAAGAGATAGACAGAGAGAGGTGGGAGGGTGCTGGGAATGACACCGAGAGACAAAGAGAGAGAGAGTGGTGGGTGGGTGCTGGGAATGACACAGAGAGACAGAGAGAGGTGGGTGGGTGTTGGGAATGACACCGAGAGACAGAGAGAGGTGGGTGGGTGCTGGGAATGACACCGAGAGACAGAGAGAGGTGGGTGGGTGTTGGGAATGACACCGAGAGACAGAGAGAGGTGGGTGGGTGCTGGGAATGGCACGGTGAGACAGACAGAGAGAGAGGTGAGTGGGTGGTGGGAACAACACACACGCAGGTTAACATTATTCCAACTGTTATTAAGAGTTAAGTGAGCTTGGGGAAAAAACACGTTCCTGATGGCAGATTGAAGAGTCTGTTGCGTGCACGCGCGCGTGTGTGGGTATGGGGAGCGGCGGTGCAGCGGTTAGCACTACGCTTGCGCTACGAACCCGGCGCCCGGAGTTAGATTCCCGCTCACGGCCAACAGCGATGACGATTATCGGAACCGGTCCTGGGCCTCCCCTAGGTCGACTCAGCCTTAAATGAGAACCTGGTGTGGCGTGAAAATATCAGCGGTAGGGAGACAAAGGGTGGTCAGTCGTGGTACTAGCCACACCCCCACCACCTCATCCTTTCCTGCACCGTAACGTTCTCAGTAGATGCACGCTGACAGAATTTTTGCCATTTGGCTACTCGTTGCACAGGATATGCGAGTCTTTCTCTGTGTGTGTGTGTGGTGTGTGTGTGTGAGTGAGTCTGTGCGTGCCCGCGCATGTGTTAGTGATATATGTGCGCGCATGTGTTTGGACAAATATGTGACCTTTATAACGAGGTAAGAGCCCATTTGAGACCACGAGACATGCAACGAGGTAGTTAGCGCCAACTCTGACTCGAGGCAAAACACGACGCTTGCTTATGCGCGAATTAATTTTGTGTTCTTAAAAAAATATTTTTCTTCTTCCCCCCCCAAAAATTAAAAAGTTATGTTTCTCACCACTGCCAGGATGGGGTGCGCGTGTGCGTGTTTGGGTGTGCGCGCGTGCCGTGCGTGTCGGGGAGCGGTGGCGCAGCGGTTGCGGCGCTGCGCTACGGACCAACCCGGCGACCCCGAGGTTCGAAGCCGGCTCACGGCCACCAACACCCGTGACGATTATCTGAACCGGTTCCCCGGGGCGTTAAAACAAAGAGATACATTAATTCTGTGTTGTGTTACAAACCAGTCGAATCTCATTCGGGGACATTCGGGCCCGGCCAGGAGAACGAGGAAGAAGATCAGGAAGATCAGGAGGAGGTTTAAGGCCGCGCAGAATGAAACGCGCACCCAGACGCAAGCTGCGTCGCGTTGTTCCGGAGGCTTAGGGGATCTGGCGGTAATTGCGCTGATGTAAACTTTGTACCCCCCCCCCCTTCCTGATCACTCCCCTCCTTCCTCCCCCCACATCTGTGCCCAATGAACAAACCAACGGTGGCGGGAGCGGTCGGATAAGCGGATAGATTTCATCTCGGCCCCATTATTAAACAAAATTGCGCTTGTTTCCCGTCGCCCTCCGTCCGTGTCGCGTTTCAAGAGGAATGGTGACGGTCAGCCCAGACGCGGCCCTGGGAGAGGAGGAGGAGGAGAGGAACGTCGGGGAGGGGAGAGGAGCGGGGAGGGGGGGGGGTATCGCTATCGAGTGTGCAGGCGGTGCATCTGCACTGGGGAACAAGTGGGGGAAATGTGTCCAGTTCATCGTGAATTCCCTGTCCATGCCATCCACACTACACAAAGTTTAGCAGCGTGCATTGTTTATACCGCGGGGCGATGCGGTGGACAGCTGATGGCAGTGAATCACAATCCATTGTTGTATTCCACGATGCCCCACCGCCTATGGCTTTCCAGGCCCTTCACTAACCCGCACTGATCGTCGTGGTGAAGTATGGTCAGATAACCCCCCACCCCTCCCACCACCTTCCACCATGACCCGCAGCAACGACGTGGGGAGCCAACTTACCCAGCAGTGAGTTGGCAAGAGCACTGTGCACGAACACGCGAACACGCGAACACGCGAACACGCGCGCGTGAGTGTCGATAGAAAGAGGGCAAGGACGGGGGGGGGGGTGGGGGGATGACGGGGGGAGTGGGGGGGGGGTTAAGTTGCCCCCCCCCCCCACCATTAAACTTTACTTGCAGGCATTGAATGGAAGTCAAATTTGGCAATTATGCAAAAAATATAATTTGCGAGTAATTAACATAAAGGGCGCACGTGTTGGAGCCAATTTAGTTTTTTGTTACAAAGAACAATTATAACCTTTAATAATTCATGATTTGGAGGTGACCGGGTGGCTCGGAGGTCGGAGCGCGGAGCCAGCACCGTTGAGATCCTGGGTTCGAATCCAAGTTCCAGCCGCTGCCTGTGGTGTAACCGGGTCACCCCGATGGTCACCAATGACTGCACACAAAACAATCATTCTTCTTGGTTCTTTCGGTAAAGTCACGTAGAAGGGAAATAATAAAAATAAAACATAATCAAATAATTCTCACGACGTTTCGGCAGCCTTCCTCAGGTGAAGCAACAGGTCTGTCAGAAAGACAGCGTTTGTCGGAAAGATACGCTGTCTTTCCGACAGACCTGTTCTTCGCCTGAGGACGGCTGCTTGCGTTGTGGCCGAAACGTCGTGAGAATTATTATTATTATTTTTTCCCTTCTACGTGACTTTACCGAAAGAACCAAGAAGATGAATCCCTGCAGTCACGAAAGCTTTAAATCGAAAAACAATAATGATCGTACATTTGGTTCTGCGATGAAGACGAACTTTGTAAAGTGCTGCCCCCTAGCGTGTGGATCGGGGGTCACGTGGTGGGCTCTCGGATGTAGTTCCGTGACCTCCGCAAGAACCGTTCTTTTACGCGCGGCGTGAGAGATCCAAACGGATTGTTCGTCACGTGACGCCGATGGCACAGGTACAATAACGCTGGTGGGGGGACAACTAACAGCCTCAGCATGAATGGCTTTAATAACCTCAAAAAATAAAGTAATATGATAATTGTTTTTTACCCTTCTATCTGGCAACAAAACTTACACCTTATGACTGCAGGTATTGTGGTCTATGCAAACATGACTCCTTGTTAAAAAGGTGTCAGTTTTATTGCCAAATAGAAGGGTAAAAAACCAATTATCATATTTTTTACTGGCAAATGATGTTCCAATGGTGGAATAAAGTAATACTTACTCAAATTGATACGGAGGAATTCGCCGTTGTGCTGTATATCTCCCCGATGGTTGTACCGCGTGTGTGTTTGGCATGATGTCCGACGTTTCGTTCCACGTGCCGAACAACACGTGGTACAACCCCGACCACACTATCAGAGGTTATTATGAAAATAATTTATTTTGTAACATTTCAAATTGCCGGGTGGCGTTTTTGCCGTGTTTGATTCTTCAATTGTTTGCACGCTGGAAGTTGCTGCTCTCCTATCGCTGTGCAGGTCATTATTTAACGTCACGTCTGTCATGAAAGCCAAACTCCCTGATATCAATCTGTAGGAATGTACAAATATATAGCAATATATAACTTTTAAAATGCATAGGCCAAACATTTAAATCAGTGGCACTATAATAAAAAAAAATTCGTAACATCGCGTAAGAATAAATGTGTCGTTAATCCCGCCACCACCCGACACAGCTAATTAGTGAGGTTTGTCGCCAAAACCAAAACGTGCCAATTAGCTACTAGCTCAGCGCACCGGTGTGTTGGAGACTAAACCCACAACATTCACAATTCGAGTACTCTGACGTTTCGCTGGTGAGTACAAACAACGACCAGCTTCATCAGGCGACTGGCGATAATTGTGAAGACGTCTTCCTGTGGCCCTGCTTGCGACTGAGTCTCGAGACTCAGCCATGCACGCAGCTGCTAAACTAATTAATGAATTGCACCCGAGCCATCGGCACACAAGAAACGGCCAACTCCTAACAAGAGCTGTGAAATAGTCAGATCTCTCATTGTTCATTACATTCCACGCAAGTGGCCAATTCTATAGATGGTCCCTATGTCGAAACAACAGATATCTCATTGTTCGCTACAGTCCACCCAAGTGGCCAATTCTAGAGATGGCCCCTAGGTCGTATCAACAGCTCTTATTGTTCATTACAGTCCACCCAAGTTGCCAATTGGAGATATGGTCCTGGGGTCGTAACAACAGTGCTCTCATTGTTCGCGTTTAGCCAACAACAAAAAAAAATCCCTAGAAAACTAGACAGGAAAATTATTCCAATTTAGAGGCTTTGAATGCTGCGAGCTCTACGGGCAATTACGTATTATTTTAAAGGGGCCGCGTGGCACGTGCGTGGGAGCGCTGGGAATTTGTGGTGAGCATAATAAGCATCCTTAGCGGAGGTACACTTGGTTCATAATCCGTGCGATCTGAGGCCGAATCCCGGCCAGGGCTCGTTCCAGTGCCGACTGTTATCTGAACCGATGCTTGGTAAACTCCCCTCCGGCTCTCTCACCCCTCGTCGCCCCACCCACTTTCACCATACCACGCTGACCCCATAGCATGCATGGTGAAATATGGTCAA